TCAATAATAATGAACATTCTGATTGAATGAAATGGTATGAAAAGGACACTAAAATGTTGTAGGTTCAAAATGTACGGTTAATCATTTGGACCTTAAGGCATAGTTTTGGGGTTTTTGAAGCATTTCTACAGTTAGTGAGTAAAAGAAAGTAATGATACATTCAGGTATGAAACATTTCTTTTCAAGGAATTCATTTTCAAACTGTTCATTAGCACTTGTATTATGTTTAAAAAAACCAGTTAGTCACATTAAAACTTACTCGGTCACTACCCATAATTAACATGCCTATTTCGTGAGAAGGGATGAAATGCTCACAATGTGTTAATGAAAAAAGGTTTTGGCGTTAAGCTGCATAGAGTGGGTCAAATACTGTCGAAACTGTTGGAATATCAATGATAATAATGATAGTGGAAACAAATTGGAGGCGAAATGAAATCAACCGGAAAGATCATGGTAAAGAAAAGGGTTTAACAAAACATTTTTGAATACGGCGTTTAAGCCTTTATTTGTGTTTTGTACTAGTGTTTCAGCTGTACATAATTGATGACTTTTGGAGTGGCTGAATACAGACTTGTACAAGGATGAATCGTCGGAAGTTAAATGACCTGACTCGAATAATCGCTTATGTTGACTTCTGTCAACGATATCTCCAACGCATTTTTTGACAACATTTGATTTAAACTAATGTTATTTGTGCATTGAATACTCATTACATGTGTCCAACATATAGACCATAACTAGAACTCTGGTATTGTATCACTCGGCAAAATGAACTGCATCATATGATTTCTTTCGATAAAAGCAAAAATAAGGATGCGGATGTGGAATGTTCGTACAATGAACGAAGCTGGAAAAACCGCCCAGGTAGCCAAAGAAATGAGAAAATATGGCGAGAGCAGATGGTATGGATATGGACTATCGAAATTGTCAACTGGTGAGTCAGTAATCTACTCCGGTCACCCAGATGACAACTATGAACACACTGAGGGAGTGGCTGTCATGATGTCACTAACAGCAGCCACTGCTCTTATGCAGTGGGAACCAATCTCCTCCAGGATTATGAGAGCTAGATTCAACTCAAAAGTAAGGAAGGTTACAATTATCCAGTGCTATGCACCTACAGACTACTCGGAACAAGAGAAGAAGGGAGGTTTCTATAGATAACTGCAAACAGTAATGGACAACGTCCCAAATGGCGACATCAAAATCCTCATGGGCAACATGATTGCTAAACTGAGAGCAGCCATTGCGAGGCGAGAATTCATCATGGGTCGAGAGGCTCTCGCCAAAAAGAATGATAATAGATAACTCTTTGCAGATTGCTGAGCTTTCAATGATTTGGTGATCGGAGGGAGCGTGTACAATCATAAGGATATACACAAAGAAACGGATTTCGTCTGATGGACATACCACAAACCAGATAGAGTTCATCTCAATTCTGCCCAAGGAAGTGAAGTCTCAGTCTGCTGGACACAAAGTCGACAAAGGGCGCAGGCATGGGCTCAGACCATCGTTTGATTCAAGGGACCTTCGAGGTGGAGCTGAAATATTTTAGAACAACTGGAGACAGACCACAATTCAAGTCCAGCACTCAGAAACTGAAGGACTAAACTACAAGGGATATCTTCACTACAGATCAGAGCAAAGTCGGAGACACTACGTGGTAACACTGAGGAAACCTTGGAACTTTCTGAAGGTGGTGTTCAAGGAAACGTGTACAACTGTTCTAGGAAGAAAGAAGAGACAAGACAGGAAATGGCTCTCAGCGGATACATAGAAGCTAGTAGAAGAGAGGAGAGGAGGATGTTGAAAGAGATGACTCAATGCAAGGATGCGCAACAGCGGGAGAAGCTGAGTTCAATGTGCACTGCACTGAATAGAGAAATGAAGAAGATTGCTAGGAGAGACAAAAGACAATTCTACGACACACTGGGCGGCAACTGAAGCAGAACAGGCTGCGGGTAAAAGAGACCTCAGAACATTATATCATATAACCAGGCTTCTATCCGGGAAGAGATCAACCCACATAATGAAATTAATAAAAGATGGTCAAGGAACCTGATTACCAAGGAGGAGAAACAAATGAAACAATGGGTTCCTGAATCGAACATCACCTGCGAGTCTTCAGGATATACTATCACCAACAGCACGCATAGAACTGCTAGTGGACACAGATCTTCCAATGAAAGCAGAAGTCTTTTATGCGATCAAGCCACTGAAGGGCAGTATAACCGGACAGAATTCTCCCTGAAGCACTGAAAACGGACCCGAAGACTGCAGCGGATATGCTGACACCATTATTGCAAAACGTTTGCAAGAAAAGGCAACTACTGATTGTGAAATTACCAAAGAAAAGCGACTTAGACCTCTTCAAGAACTGGCTTGGAATCATGCTCGTGTCCACGTCAAGCAAAGTATTAAGTCGTGTCATTCTGGAGAGATTAAAAGATGCACTGGATGCAGAACTCCGCCCACCGGAACAAGCTGGACTCAAGAAAGGCAAATCATGTGCTGACCAAATTGCAACTCTACACATTGTCATCGAACAAAGCATAGAATGATGGTCAAACCTCTACCTACCTTAACTTCATCGACTTCGAAAAGGTCTTCGACAGACACCGTTGACCGTGAAGTAATTTGGAAACTACTTCAACATTGTGTAGTGCCCAAATGATTTTCAACCTCATTTAACAGCTGTCTGACTATGATATCAAATATCAAGTGATCCACAACCGAAAACTCAGTGAAGCCTTTGAAGTGAAGACAGGAGTAAGACAACGCTGCCTATCATCGATGATATTCCTAATTATGATGGCCTAGATTGTGTCAGACTGTCCAATGGGAGCGAGAAGGCAGGAACACGCTGGTTCAATAAGAAGACTATGGAAGATCTGCATTTCGCGAGTGGATGATTTATGTTTACTGTCACACAAACTCGAAGACTTACAGGCGAAAACCAAAGAAACTGGCTGAGGAAGTAGTGACGAAAGGACTCCAGGTGAACATAGAAAAGATGGAGGTGGTGTAGATAACCAATCAACGTCAGCAACCAGTACCAATCACTGTCAACGGAATAATTTTGAAAGAGGTTACGTCATTCACTTGTCTAGGAAGCGTCGTTTCAACTATAAATGGAATAGCTGAAGATGTCAAAGCCAGAATCGAAAAGGCAAGGCAGACCTTCATCACTCTGAAATCAATTAAGAAATCTGCTTTACTCAGCATAAAGAACAAGATTTGGATTTTCAACACTAGTGTTAAGTCAGTTCTATATGGATCGGAAAATTGCACTGCGTGTAACGAAAAGCATTTCCAAGAGTTTGCAGACTTATCAACAGCTGCCTTCGCTGGTTCCATACTGAAGGTTAGGTGGCCGGCAGTAAAGAATCAACAACAAGGAACTCTGGGAACGAATGAATCAAGAGCCTATTGCCCAACAAATATGAAGAAGAAAATGGAGATGGACTGGACTAATGCTAAGGAGACCGTTGAGTGATATCGAGAGCCAGGCCCTCGAGTGGAACCCGAATAGGGTACGACAAGTTGGGCATTGGTCCGAAGATGACATGGAGGAGGTCGTGCGAGGAGATCAGAGACTATGGGCAGTCATGGAGCCAGCTAAAGACGACCGCAGAGAATAGGAAAAAGTGGAGATGTGCTGTTGAAGCCCTATGTTCTACTCGGAACCCAAGGGAACAATAATAATGTATAATATATGATTTCTAAGATGAAGTACCAAACAAACCATCTGCACAGACTTGGATAGTTATATTATCATACAATTATTTCCTTAGACTCAGAGTGGAACATAGGGTCTCAGCAGAACACCTCCATTTCATCTTGTTCTCTGCTTTCCCTCTGCAGCTAGCTCCACGATTGTCCACAATGTGTCACCTCCCACTCACACGGTCTACTCCGTTTCGCACTCAGACGCCTAACTCGTATTCAATTCGGGTTCCACTTAAAGGCCTGGAGTTCGATTCCACTCAGTTATCTTCTCAGTGTAGGTCCAATCCATCTGCATTTCCTTTCGCATATTTATCGGGCAATAGGTTCTTGTTTCATTCGTTGCCAGAGTTCCTTGTTTGTAATCCTTGCTGACCAGCAATCTATTATTCAGTATAAAGCGAAGGCATACTACTTCATTTAGACAGTTAATAAAAAACAGTTAGTAAAATCGATGAAGCTACATTGACTGTGATGTCTAGGAGATGTCTTACGCATACCAAGCCACCGGCTTTCTCGACAAGAAATGTTACTTAACATAGGATTAGGTTGGAAAAGAGTTAGTGGTTGTCAGACCGAAATCTGACATCAATCCATGGAGGCGTTAACTTTTGATTTGAACCAAGAACATAGGGAGGTGTGAACTGCCTGTTTGGAGTCCCCGTGATGCTAAGGACCAATGGCTGGAGACTACTGGTGATACAGCTCACAGTCGTTGTTAATGGCACAGATGCATTCATTCTTGGTGGTCTCTCATAACTACGAAGTCCTTACGGTTTTCCACATTACCATTCTTTATCCCGTACATTTCTGTTCCTTAAAGCCTTTTTGAATTTTTGTTTCTTCCTCTACCTTTGTGAGCTACATAACGTGTGGAAACTTGAGTTTCTGCATTCATGTGCCGTCCTACATTCAAATTCAGTCAGTCAGATGAAATGTTGATTTTTAAAATGAAGTCTAATTCTTTACTAAAATATCTAGTCGGTTTTGTGTAACTTCATAATGTTAAAATGCCCCACTGAAGGAAAGATTTCATATGATCAAGTCATCTGTTTGCAACGTCTCGTGTATTTCTGCTAACTTAAACATCTTTATATATATATATATATGATGGTATAAATAAAGGAAGCTATTCAGCAATGTTCTCGTTTATCACAAATATTACAATTTCTATGAACTTGACCTGTCAAAGGAAGATGGTTTTTAGGCTACGGTTGCTTTTGTGGGTTAGTTATTTTAGAAAAGGCGGTATCGATCATAGTCCGTGTTTCTTTCTCAGTTTTTATTTTTAGTCTTAGAATAAAAAATTTTTTAATGGCCAATCGAATAACGAAAAGTAAGTAGTAGTAAATCAATTTATTCTATCTCGTCATTGGCTGCTTTTCCTCTACCAATCATTTTTTAGTTTGGTTAGCTTGAATAAACCTATGGTTGAGCATAAATATCTGTTATGATGAAGCGCCATTAGATTTTTAGATCAAAATAATGTTTATCATCATGGATAATGTTACATAATGTCGTAATCCACTTCTTACTTTGAGGATTATACTTTCACATAAATGGAGGTTGTTCCTGAGGTCAAACATGACGACACCTTAAGCATAACGTCTAATAAAAAGAATAGTCAACAGGGAAAGTTCTATCCTAAAAGCTATGAGAGGTCACCACGAAACCATGGGAACAATATCACAAGTGGACGAAGAGGACCTGGACTTTTTAGACCCACAGTAAATGAAAACTCGATATTACAACCGAACATGCCACCTAATCTACTCCGTAGTCGATTATCTCATTTTAAACCTTCTTTGACTCCTGGACTTGGAACAAGAAGAGTGGTTTATGGAAACTCAAGTAAGATTTAATATGTATCACTGGTTGTATGTGTTGTATGCATGGTTTCTTGTTTGTTATTATGCTTGCTGCTTGCAACAATGGCATACTGAAGCCCTATTTTCCACTAGGAACCGAAGAAACGAATGGTGATAATAATGACAACCATAGACTTATACAGTTGATGAATTCAATAACACAAAAGATTAATGCACGGTTTAGAACAAAACACTTATCCTCAGTAGTCAACTGAAGTACTGGGAATACATTTATATTTCACCAGATAGTAGATAGATGGATGTTCAAAGTAAATTCGAATAAGTCATTCATTCTAACGCCTTTATTGAATAGATATTATGTGAAATATTTTGTAGCTCAGGTGGATTATTTTTGTATAGTTGTGTTCTCTGAGCTGGATGCCTTAGTTGCGAAAAATAAGGAACTTGTCACGATTTCACCTGTTATCCTTGTGAAATATGGAACTGTGGCTCGTTAGTTCACGAACGCTACTGCCAAACAACTGGTTGACACTTTGAAATCCTCTTCCATCTACTGAAACTTGGGCAACTAGGTAGTGCCATCAGGCTTCACATAGTAGATGTGAATCATTGCCGAATACATGAAAATACAAGTGATTCCTGAGTAACGTTTAATCTTAAATAGATAAAGAAACTCACGCAGAATATACCGTATAATTACATGCTAAGAAGTTCACTTGCTTTTCAACAGAATTGACATAATTTACTGAAAACTGCAACTAAACTGCAAAGACTAAAATGTTCCTTCCATACAAAAATTTCCCTTTATATATCTGAGCTGAGAAAGAATAACATGGGTCCACTATATTCTGTTGGTTCTCATCAGCTGTGTTAAGCCTATAATCTTTAATGAAATGAGTCAGCGTACAGTTTTGACATACTTTTCTCTATCAGTGGGCATATTGTAACAGCATCATAGTGAAATAAAACATCAGGTATAAGGTATCTCAAGCATTGCATATATATATATATTAGAGAAAAGTTTCTCGAGGAAATTAATTGACAAACTTGTTGTTAGGATGTTAGTAACAATTACGTAGTTAGATAAGAAAAGATCAGGATTTGGTGTGCAAGAGGTCAAATGAAAAGATGATGATGTAATACGGTGAGTAGAACTCAGAAGGTCAAGAAAAGCTATCTCTTATGGAAGTCAAGTGGAAAAAATGGAAGGGGGTGCAAAGATATGTTAGCGAAATTAGAAAACAAAGAGTTACTTATGGGATCAGTCACCAAGGTTATTGAAGTACAACGACAGATTCTTTTTGGACACGTAGTTCAGGTTTCAGCTGGTTTATTGCGATAGCCTCAGCAACCCGAAGAAGGCTCCAGATATTTTGTCTGTTAATTATTTTGAATGATCTTAGTGCGGCTACTCGGTGTGCTGTGTCTATTAGGTGTTTGGTGATTGAAGAGATTAAACCCTTTGGTCTCTTCCGGTTAACGGAAGCTCCTTAGTACATGTCCGAAGAGTCTGACGTAGGCTCTTCTTTCTGTTCTTCCAATGTAGTTGCTGCAACAAATACATGTGAATCGGCATACACAATTGTAAGTAACATATCAAGGGTACTTGTCGATATTTGCCTGCATTAATGAGGAGAATGTTCGAAGCAGAGATACATACATACATTAAGTTGACAAACTTTTCCAACGAATTGGAACGAGTCTTTCAGAGTATGTTTAGGTAGTCCTTGTCTGACAGATTCAAACTTATCGGCTAACTAGCAACAAACTTTGTGGAAGGGTAAATCCACCAGTGAAAGTATGGGTCTCATTCGTCAATTCTTTTAATGTATTTTTAGTAGACCATACATGTATGGTAGTCGAGATGCCTTGGGCTTTGATTCATTTTATGTGTGACTGTCAATCGTTTTCTTTTCCAACAGCTCTCTGAGTGGTTGTGTGACTTTCTTTTCTGTGAAATCCGTCATATCCTTCATATGGTTATCAATTTTGAGTTTCTATGTGTCATTGGGAATAGACTCCACTTTTTGGATATAACCAGCTATGTTCATCATTACCACGACTGAACCTTTGTCTGACCGCAGTATGACAATATCTTCATTGCTTAGCAGACGTTTAACTGCTTTTAGGTGCTCTTTATTCATGATTCTAGACTGTTGAATTGGTGAACACAGGTATTAGTTGGAGATGTCAACTGGTTTCGATTCGAACCAACCTTTTTTCTTATCTAACTACGTAATTGTTACCAACATCCTAACAACAATTAATTATTTGAGTATCTTGATGTAATTATAATGAATAATTTATGCTGGAAACATAATCATTAGATAATACTGTATCACTGTGTGTTTTTGATCGAATAAATTTATTCTATGACGGCACTATACTCTACCGCAATGTCCAAGTGCTGTTCTTATCGCATATGTCCTGGCTTCTCCTTCTTTCGATGGCTTATTTGAGTAGACCTAAGTGGATTGTAAAAGTGACCCGTTAATTGTAAATTATGTTTTCAAAAGAATGAAGTGATGAACATACTTAGTCGCTTGAGTTTTATCTTTCGATTGCATTTCGAATACCCTTAGTATTGCTACTGATAAATCAAACTTTTTAGGTAAGATTCTTTTTCTTGGATATTAAACTTAATTTTCATGATTCATGCTTTTCATTTACATTTATTAGACACTGTTTTCTTGAAATTTTGTGAATTATTATTTGAATCAAAACTTTATTCTCTTTCATGATTTTTGAATGTGGCAAACACTCACTATTGCTTTCCACAGGTGAAGTCGTTTTCCTTTTTCGGGACTATGAAGTTGATCATGTAAAATATTTGCTGTTATTAGACTGTTTTAAAGAAGAGTTAAAACACTTTCACATTACACACATACTTCCGTTATCTCACCTTATGTTCCGCTGATTTTTCTAGGACAGGATGCAAATCTGAAATTCAGCATAGAGCCTCGTTTGAGTGATGAAGCTTTTGATGAATGGGTTAATGCTATACGTCTCATGGCTCGCTTAGGTGATGGATTGCCAGCATCTATTCGTGCACGCGTTTGGTCAACTCTTGCAGATCGGCAGTTGGCTAAACAACATGTGGACTGGGATCATGTTATTAAAGTGGCTTTCAATGAACCATCCAATCAAGATGATGATAGATTAGGCGAACAGATTGTAAAAGATCTGCATCGTACTGGATGTGAACAGTTTGGCTCAGATTCTGACAGGGCATCATTGAAACGTGTACTTCTGGCTTACGCTCGATGGAATAAACGTGTCGGTTATTGTCAAGGATTCAATGTGATAGCTGCTGCTGTACTGGATGTTACTGCTCGAGATGAAAAGAAGGCATTTAAGGTAAGTAAAAAAGCTGACTATTTATACTCTTGAAAATAAATGACTAATAACTATGTATCAGTATTTTTGACCAGGTAGTAGTCTTCAGTCTAAGATCACAAATCTTAACTTCAGTTTAGGTAATTATGTGGATGTACTTTAGCTTTATTTGTTGAAAATTATTTACGCTTTGAAAATAGACTTGTAAAAAAGGATTTGGTGTTTAAGATGTTAGATTTATCGTTCTGAGAATATATCTCATAATCAAATTTGTTCATCACATGAATTCTCACCGAAGACACTGATTGACAGTGGTGATATATATATCGCAAATTGACAGAAGTCAGAATTCATCAGCCATCGGATTCCGTCGCAGCTTGCCTCGTAACCTGAAGGTCGTGGGTTCTTTCTTCAATGCAATGGACTCTTGAAGATTACCAAACTAGGACGAAATAAGTGTCCAGTACTTCCTGGCGTTTAATGGCTACCTAACTGATGTTATTTGGTGATCCAACCTGAAGTCAGTCAAGTCTTTGCAAACCAACCTTCAGAAATTAATCCTAATCCAAAAATATGGTGGTGATATGTGGATGACACTTTCACAGTGTTAAAAACAGAACATATCTCTAGCTTCTTGACACATATAAACTCACTAGCAAAGGGAATAAATTTCACACTTGAATTGGAAAATGAACATGGAGAATTAGCTATGTTAGATTGTAAAATAAAATGAATAGAAGAAGGCAAACTACACACTAGTGTTTATAAAAAGTAGGTGCATTTTAATAGATATTTAGACTTTAATTCATCTCATTCATTGTCTGTAAAGGCGGGTTCAGTTAAGTGTTTAACATACCGAGCAATAGCGCTAAGTAGTGCACCAAAAAACTTAAACGATGAAATGAAACAGATAGAAGAGGCGTTAGTGTTAAATAACTATCCTTTAAAATTCATTAGGAAGATTGAGAAAGGCCAAAAGAAAAATAAAAAGAATTGTGAAACTAGTAATAATAACATAAATAAGAGAGAATATAAGTCATCTACAGTTATACAATATAAAGAGGGGACATCTGAGACACTACGTAGGATTCTAAATAAAGCAGGAATTAGGGTGGCATTTAAACCTACAAACTCACTCAGGGACAAGCTCTGTAGGTTAAAGGAACCTGTTGACCCAATTAGGCAAAATAATATAATTTACAAAATACCCTGCAATGACTGTGAGGTCAACTACATAGGTCAAACTAGTAGGTCAGGGGTAGTCAGATTGTCGGAACATAAGAATTTAGCTAAGGTAAGAATGGTTGACCCCGAGAAGATAAGTAATTTAGAAAATAAAGGTCAGCAATTGCACTGCATGCATTAACACACAACCACACAATAGGGTAAGAGAGGGTTAAAATTCTAAAAAATAATCTAGGTAGGTGGAGAGCGAGAGAGGTTGATTACTGAATCCTTGTTCATCGAGTCTACACCCAACACGTGCAATAGGAATGACTCATCACACATACCGGAAATATGCAAAATACTACTACCAATCAAATCAAGCGATGGAAAATAATGGAATTATATAAACGAAGTTAGAAAGTTGTGTGAGTACCTTGATGTGATTATGAGCAGTAATAAATTGTACTAGAAATGTCATCAGTAAATATTACTGTATAACACTGTGAGACTTCATCACAATAAATTTTACCTATAATGGAATTATAGTCTACCACAGTGCACAAGTTCTATTCTTATATCAACCTTCAGAAATCTTTATCCCTTTATGATATCACGATGATCTTATTGTCTCTGGCATGTTATACTGCTGTCTGGTACTATTTAATCACTGAAACTTGTTTGTTATATTAATGCTAGAAGATTTTAAAAATATTTTTTTTTGAAATTCTAGACCGATAAACACGTTAAAATGCCAAATTTATAATTTCTGCTGCTTGGCATCATGAATATTTATTGATTGGTCTTGTAAATCCTTGTAACATGTTTATTCCTGTTTGCAGTTTCCTTGACGTATACATTGTGGTGGTGATGATTAGTTGAAATATATTGTATTTCTTATTGTTTGACCTTCAGTGCATTAGTTAACTGTGCTTCATGTAACTGATTGTTATCATGACAACAAAGTTAAAAGTGTTCCTAAATTGTTCAGATGAGTTTTATAGTCTACGACTCTGAAATACAGTCAGTTAAAAGTAGGCCTGGAGATACTGGGATCATCTTGATAAATGTGAACCAGAGTTTCGTCTGTGAATGTTTCTCTCATTTATTGTTGTAATAATTAACGGTTGTTTTCCCATGTTAGATCAGTATCTCAGTTGCACATACTCTATCTATCAGAAGTTCATTGGTGGATGGTGACTAGCAGTGGAATCCAGGATGCGCATTTCGTCCTATTTGGGACTCGTCACTGGACGTACCTGCATTCCGCAGTGAGTGATTATGTTCCCACCGAGGCTCAAACCTAATGCCCATAGTTTCAAACGCCAAACCGTTATCCACTAGACTACTTGGTCCATAAGAGCCAATCTATCACTTACAAATATTTGTTAGATATGATGCATTTTTGAGTTGAAAACCACACTTATACCCCCAAATGTTATTGCCACTTAAACTTTGCTTAAGTTTTACTTGATGCTTGCTGATATGTACATAATGTAAGTGTAAATGTTTACTATCCTGACTCAGTAACCATATACATTTTCAGGGTTGACTGTAAAAAGCATGTTACTAAGCCATTCAAATGCATAGGATTTGAGTAGCGTGAAAACGTGCTGTATACCTTGAACTCATTTTCATTCACTTGCTCATAATTCATACTTTTTTCTAATGTGGCAATATATGTAGAAACGGACTGCCAAAGATTTGCCACTTGCTGAGGTGTTTAAACATGCTATCTACTGATTTGAAATCGATCACCAAAACCAATGATTTAAAACTTCAGTTGATAATCGTTTAATTGATCACATGTAAAATATGCATTGATTTGATCATATAGTTTTTTAATGGCACCGTTTTAGTTTTTCGAGTTTGACGATGGATTGATATCAGTTAGAGAAGCATTGAAAACCAGGTAGTACTGGACAGCTGTTTCACCCTAGTTTTGCACTCATCATCAGTACGCACCCGGGACCTTCCGGTTGCAAAGCAAGCTCGTATACCATTCAGCCACTAGGTCCCGATTCAATGGCCAGACCATGAATTCTAACTTCTACCAAGGTCCTGAGCTCAAAACCCAGTGGGTGCGTACTGCCGATGAGTCCCAGACGAGGACGAAACAGCTGTGCAGTACTCTCTGGTTTTCAATGGTTCTCTGATATCAGTCCGCGGTCAAACTCGAAAAACAAATTAACTCTTAAAAACCGTCTTGGTTTAACAGATTTGCAGAATTTCAAAGACTGAACTGTCTACTGAAAAGTGTATTATCGCATAAATTTATTCATTCAATCACACTAAAGTAATTATCAAAATGCAGTACTGAAATTTAACCTTGTAAATAGATACAATTGAGTCACTGGTTCGATGGTAGAATTCTCACCAGGAGTCATATGAGAGAGTTGGTACGCCTGTGGTTACTGGCTAGCTCACTCCTAAGCCTTACTCAGCAGGGAATAGTGAAGGTTGGGCGTTAGTAAATTCTACCCCATACTGAAACTTCAAATCTAAAAGCTTGAAACCTTTTGTTCCACTTAGGAAGGAAGGAGCTTAATAATAAAAGATCTAAGATGAATACTCACTTGAGGGTGTATTGTGTATGTGACTAACATTAATGTGATCTTTAAGAAAGGCAATTATTATTGTGCGTTTTGTTTATAAAAAGTCTTCATTATCTCTTGTTACCTTGTGTAGACGTTAAGTTTAATGTTAGCACAGTTTGATTCTATACAGAAGGTAATGAATCTATATTTGTAGGAAGAAAGTAACTCACATTTATAAATGTATATATATATATATTTCTGTGCTCCACCTTTATATGTTTCAGATTATGGTTTACCTAATTGACTATGTCTTACCGGAATCGTATTTTGCACAAAATCTACAAGCACTTTCAGTGGATATTGCTGTATTTCGTCAACTTTTACAGACAAGACTACCTGAATTAGCCAACCATTTGGATCATTTGCAATATAAGGCTGGTAAGTCTTGATATCCATTTTCACTAGCACTTTATTTGGTCAAGCATATTCACAGCACTTTTTATCAGATTTTATCAATTTTTTAGGTAATAGTGGTATTGGCATTAAGATACTTACACATTTTGATACATAATTCATTCTTAGAACACCGTATAAATAGGCGTAAACTTCGTTAATAAATTTGATTCTCCATAAAAGTAGTAAAGTTTGACGGTGCTGATAGATGTAGCATTTTAACAGTCCTCAGAATAACTTATTACAGCTGATATGAATGAAATACTGACCAACTGACTTTTGAAACAGTTTGCTCTCCTTTACTACGTGTCAACTCCCAGTTCCTGAGAGAATCCACTAATTTTCATTTGATTATTCTCTCCATCGCAGCTAGGCTTATTTATTTTTAATTGAAATTGACATTTTCCCGTCGATTGATTGGACCGAAATGCTCGGTCTCAGGTTGACATGTCGGCTTCAAACGACGGGAAAATCTCAAATTCAATTAAATTAATGTGACCCGTTGCACAAGAGGTGGCTCTCGTGGCCCAAGTGGTCTAGTGGATAACGCTTTGGCGTTTGAAACTAAGGGTACTGGGTTTGAGCCTCGGTGGGCGCATCATCACTCACTGGGGAGTGCAGGTACATCCAAATGACGAGTCCCAAATAGGACGAAATGTGCATCCTGGATTCCACTGCTAGTCACCATCCACAAATTAGGCTTATTTATCTTTAATATTATTATTACATTTCTATTCCCATAATTTGTATGCTTATTTGAAGTGTAGTCAACCTGAAATGATGTATTCCTATGCAAATTTCTACGTTGTCAGGACGTCAGGCGGTAATATTCATCTTACAAATCTATTTCGCTACGCTTTATGATGTCTTAGATCGCTTTTAATTGAACAGATGGCAAATATTTCCGCAAATATATTTACGGAAACAGAAATGTTTGCTACCTATTAACTGTATAAAGTTAAGAAGATTGACAAAAGATATGTAGCTAGTCGAAATCGCTGCTTACTATTATATCTGTTATTAGTAACATTTGTCTCTTTTCAAAATACTAGTCGGTGACTATTACTGACCAAGTTAACTCAGATGACAACAAAATTAAGAAAGTGATGAGGTTCAATCTAGATTTTTTCACAAATCAATATTAGTCAGAGATCACTGAAAACCAAGAGTGTATGGGACAACTGTTTGGCCATAGGTTGGGACTCTTTAGCAGTGCGCATTCACTACTCAACACGGAATCAAATCCCGGACCTTCAGGTCATGAGACCAAGCTCGTTGACCATACAGTCAGGTGGACTGGAATTCAGTAATCCATGAATTCTATTTTTGTCAACTTGTGACTGAGCGATGCCCCTAAGCAATAGCTTCCATGAGCATTCTCTTCTCCTTGACTTGATGAACCCCACTGGCAACGACGTAGAAGTGCAACCTTAGAATCTACATTCAGTAGCCATTGATGGGCTGTAAATTGATACTCAGATTACGGGGTTTTGTAGCGATTTGGATTAATTTCACTACAGCTTTCGTCACGAACCAGTATCATTTAGAGATCGTTGAAAACCAGGGAGCACTAATGAAGTCCACACTGAGATTAATTCAAACCTATAATCTTAACTGATAAGTGCTGTTAAAACCATTGTTAAATTTTTATTGTGAATTTTACTGTGACATAAAAGGTTTTTAGCCGTCATGTCGCGCTATCATGAACTGGCAGTTGTGTAGGACTTTACTATACTTGGCGGCCTGCACAAAACTTTGGCTACCGAAAACTTCCATCTCTTTATTGAATATATTTTCTCTCGTTCGGTTTGTTTTAATCGATTAAAACATGACTCTCTAATGGTATTATCTGCTCTTGTGTGTATTTTAAATATTTAAAAGCTTCTGGTTCGGAAGTTCCCATTAAACTTGAAGAAAGGCCTGATTGTGATTGGCAACGTGTTTCAACACTAGAGATAACTGTTCTTCAGTTAAGTCCTTGGGTCTCAAAATGTACTTCTGAACATCTTACAAATGGCTTTCAACTAGATATCGTAGATTTCTTGAAGGAGACTAAGCAGATATATCATAATGGAATGGTTTGTGGTTCAGCTCAGAAATCGTTGTATCACAGAATATATTGTTTATTATTATTTTACTTGAAGATTTGTGCGAAAGGAAAACATCATTCAATAAACTCCTCTGAGAATTCTGTACATTTTATAAATACTGTCCAGAATAAAGTTGTTATTATTACTAATATATATATATATATATATATATATATTTATTGCTGAGTAGTAAACTGAAATATAGTGTTCATTGGTTTTGTTTACCATCGATTTCCTAAACAAATCATTAAAGGGTGATTAAGAAGTGTGCAATGTAACCTAGCAACCGTATTAATGCAGGTTTGTACCCTTACACATCCAGGCATAATATTCGTGTGACGGCTTTCTAGTTGTACAAGCATAGGACTCAAAATTGTGACCTTATGATATATGAGTGCTGAAATCAATCAATCACTTCTGATGATTTTGATGCTGTGCATTCCATAGTTTCCATCCACAGACCTTTCAACTCTAGAAAGATGAAGTGCTTAGTAATCTAGGTAAAGAAATATTACTGTACAGTATAAAATTCATCTTATTTATTGAATCATTGTAGTTGTCGTCTAACTTGTTATTTCCACTGTTGTCTAGTAAAGCAAAGTGTGCTTGCTTGATATAACATACCATTGGTCTACATTCTATGCCATAGACGTCAGTTTGCCTTTCTGTTTTGAAAGGGGTGTTGGCAGCTTTTAATTCCTGAATTTGATAAAACTTGATCCGTTAATTTATTAATAACAAAAAATTATCAAAAAATAATTATAATAGAGCTTATCATGTTTCATTTTTTTATTGTTTGTTTTTTAAAATTCACTACCATCAGCTTTAGAAACTGAATATCAGTCGGGAGCGAAACGATCACCGTTTGATAAACAGGATATTGTATCAGGGAAAAATCAAGGTGCTTATGAGCCACCATTAATGAATGTTTATATTATTCAATGGTTTCTTACACTATTTGCTACTTGTTTAGCTCCGGATGCAGTCCTACGTGTATGGGACAGTATCCTACTTGAGGGTTCTGAAGTGATTCTAAGAACTGCAATTGTTATCATGGATTTTCTGAAAAGGTATTTATCATAAATGAATTTTCTTATGCTTAACAAATATGTATTCTTGTATCTTCGATCACACAAATAATGAATTGAACTATTGTGGGGATCAGGTTGTTTTGTTATGCATTTTATTTAGAACAAATCAGACAAATGAAATCATTTCAATTATTCCCTTGAACAACGTATACAGTGAAAAAGCGATTCTTTTAAATTTGGTTTAAAAAAACAACTAATTCGTGTTATCATCCGAAACAGTATAGATTTAGAAGTTAACAAAGACGGGAAGATATTTTAAACGCTCTGATCTCTTATAAATGCACGTATAAAGCAAACCGTCTCCAATGGAATATATATATATATATATATAAAGTGTCAGTATATAGTGTCAGTATATTCTTGTTCTCCTGTAATTCAGCAGTAGGATACTCTTGGTCTGGTTCCCCACCTGTGCACTTCTATACCTCACTCAATCCCGGAAAATAATGTAGGTTGGATGTGAGACTAGCACTCCTACTCCTTAAATAAAAGACACCCCTGCTACTGAAACGTCAAAGCTTGAAGCCGTTTGTTCTACTTGCAACGCAAGAAATAAAAAATAATGTAACCGTAGCAAGTCTATAAACTTACAGCTTTAATAGAAGATTTTCTACTAACATCAGTAGCTAATAATCTCTAACTATTTCCTGCGGATTAATTGATTTGTTTTTATCATTCATTGATATGTTCAGTGAACCATTTAAACCGCCAATTTTCTTCTAGTTTGCGAATATATAAATACTGAACCAAGACTGCCGATTTCGATAACGACTAAGTAACTGTTCAACCAGTAGATCGAAATCCAATCATCCAGGATTCACAGCTACTGCCGATTTTAAGAATAAAGTTATCATTTTTTTAAATTCCTTTACTTTCCCAGTGGAACATGGGGGTTCAAGCTAGAGACCTGAAGTTTCTGTAGCAGTGGTGTTCCTTTTTATGAGATGGGTTTGCTAGCCTCATGCCCAACCTTCCCTCTTTAACAGTCTTATTACTGGTTTAGACAGGTAAATGAGTGCGCCCGCTGAGGATCGAACCGTGGACCACATGCGTGGTTGGCGAACAGTCTACCGCTGTGCCACCTACGCACAAATTTATCACTATGAAGTATTTTTCCTAAAACTTCTTTATTTTATAATCGTAGGGTGAGATAAATAAATATTCTTGGCATAAATGATAAATGATTGCTTTTTCGGACCAAGTTAAACTTTAATCACCAGTAACTGTCTCCGGAGTGCATCCACATTAATGACCTTGAATGGTCCAATGAGTTTTGTTCACTTGAGTTGAAGCTTCTATTCCTCTTCATTCAAGTCAAATATCTGCTCTAACGCTATTACGTTTTAAATTTGGAGAAGACCAAGTCTTCCACTATTTTTTAGATGTGGGGTTCATAAGAAAGTAAAAGATTTGTTCATATGGAGGCGTGATGAGTATAAAAAGCTTCAGTAGATCAGTTAATTGACATGTGCATCGTTGTGCAATTTGTTTAAGCTGGTGATTCTAATATTTCGTAGGAACATTTTTTGCCAGGTCCCATCTGTCATTAACCCGGAAAATAGTCTCGTATCAACATTTCATTGGTACCTGCCTTACAGGGATTCCGCGTCCTGAAAAATGGAGAGACTTACTTCTCTATTGGGAGGAGAAGGTGTTATCGTACATTTACATGAAACTTTTATTGAAGGGAAAATGTAACCGTGGTCGAGAACGAGTGAATAATATTGGGGTAATTGATTTTTACGATAACTCTACGAAAAGGATTGGTCGAGAGAATAGCAGGTAGACAGTCAAATGCTTTGATACCTGTTATCACTCAACTGTTGAAACAGATCTACAATCCACACAGATGAGTGGAAAGGTTATAACTCCTTGTCATCCCTTTGATATATTCACCACAGAGTCAACCATTCTAATGATTTTGTGGATTTCATTACAGAGACACACATCAATTCTATCGAAGGCCTTTGGGGAAGGTTAAAAAAACCACATTATAGCCATTAATGGGTTTATTTAGTAGTCATTTAGATAAATACATATAAAGGGTGTGGTGAAACTTTTCTGTTGATACTCCTATGTTAAGCTGGGTATTGTTTTCATCAAATGTAACAGAACTTTATACAGTCTTATGCATTATTTTTCATAAATATATATGTATATATCTCTTCTAATTGATCGGTGCGTTCAGGGTCATTCGCTGATTGGTGGTTACTGATGCTTAAAGTTTAATATTGCCTTTTTCCCAATTCAAAGAAATGTTTGGAATTCAATAAACATACATGAAACTGAAATCTAGGCGTTAGCTTTCTTACTGAACAATCATATATATATATATATATATATATATATATAGACTTGAGGTTAATGTCTATCTATCTGTGGACTTAGTAGTTGTATCTGGCGCTTATAGTAGTCGATTTGTTAATAAAAACAAGTCAACAATATTATGCTTAGCGTTTGTCAAATATTAATTTGAGAGGAGAATTCGGGCACTGTGGTACAATATAATTCCATATTGGATAAATTTATCTACTGTGCCACATAGTCAGTGATAAAATATTAATAAGTGGGTGATGTTTCGAGTGCAATTTATTGCTTATAACCATATCACAATAATTTACTTAAAGCACTTAGATCTTATTTCATCATGTTATTCTGTGATGAGACTGATTATTTGTGTCGATTAAATGGCACACTTTGAAATTTGAATGTAACTAATCTAAACCTTACAACGACCATGTGTATCATGAATTTCTTTTACTTAAATTTCTTTCTTCATCTGGTTTTTGTTTTGGTCAGTTAATTTTTCTTAACTTCTTACAATCTATGAGGTTCACTTTTTTCATTCCTTTGCATTCCGAATGTAACGTAGGGCCTAAGGGTTTAAGCTATGAAGTCTTAGCAGTGCTTGTGTTTTTACTAGGTGAAGTTGCTAGCCTCACACCAAACCTTCCCCACTCTCCGGGCTTACTATTAGGCAAGGAATAGGAATGCGTTGGTCGGGAGTCGAACCTGGACCCTGTATCTGACTGGCGAGCATTCTATCCCTAAACAACCGACTCTTGTGGTTCACTACGAAAAGTTTTAATTTCAGCGAAATTAAAATTTTGAAATTTGAGAAGTGACTAGAAGTCATTGAAGTCAGGCAATTTCAGTACACGTTGGCTGAATGCATTATTATCATTGTGTCAATTGGTGATTTAATTGTGCAGCTGTCATTGTCGTGATTGAGTATATAAGGTACAGCATAACAAATCTGCCTCCTTTTCTTTTCAGTATACTTGAATAGGTAGAAAGGTAGAGGCGGTCAATTGCGATTTGAATTTCCTCAGTTAGTTGGTTTTATTTAAGTTTGCATTACGTGCTTACTGGAATACTGATATTGTAACAACAGAAGGCAAGAGTCAGGCAACAGATCATTTATTAAGGAAATCAACGCATATTTATATATTTTCATGTACATTACTATGAATATTTAAGCAAACAAACACAGTCTTCCGATTGCTTGTTTCTCACGTAAAGTTAATCTTTCATCTATTTGTGACTGTTTCTTGAATGTCAAATCCTCTATATGTTAACTGCATCCGCCTACGCAAAGTCAATCTTTGTTCACATTTTCTCACGACAAATCTTGGGAACGTAAATATTGACGTCAATTACTGTCTACCAATTTGGCTAGTAGACAGCTCTCACCACAATATCATATGAGATGTTATGTTTGACTGTTTTAAACCTTTTTCACATAGCTGGTATATCTGTTGTGGCATTTGTGATAATATGCGTAAGAAAACCTCTGAGTATCTCTTATTCTCAAGCTATTGACATTCAAAATGAGGTTTGGTTTTAACCGGAAAGATATTGACTGAAAGAACAATAGAAACTTCATGTTTGAACTATTCAGCTTAGAGAATATAGGAACACTTAAAACACTTACCTTAGGTATAAATCTTTATCGTTACAAAGTCAAACGTGTGTTTAACCACCCTCAGTGTATAACCGTCGTGTAACACTGGTGTTTACGTTTTATGCAACACATGAGTTTTCATACTGCTATCTCCAATATCTCTTACATTTTATTTTGATGATTAACGAATTTAATCTTTTTCGTTTGGTTTTTGTCAACAGCCGTTTGTTAAAATTAAAGTCAGCTGATCAGTTTTACTCTACAATGAGTGATTTATTGTCAGCGCTTGCTGAAGGGAAAATTGTCAGCAGTCAAGAATTATTATTTGAAATATACGAATTGGCGCCGTTTCCCTATCCGGGTTTGAAAGAATTACGCGAAAAGTTTATGTATAATATTGCACCACTAGTTCTTACCAATATGAATAATAATCCATTTATTGATTGTACTAAGAATGGTCAGGATAATAACAAGAAGCAGAAGAAAGCTGATAAATTCAACTTACTGAAGTATTTTTCTACAAGCTTTAAAAAACCAGAATCACTAGAACCTACTAGTACTGTTAAAAATCTAACAAAATTCAAGAAGGATAAGTAAGTTTTTGATCTTTTTCTTTGAACTTGAGTATTTAGAACCTCTGTTTCCACTTACAGACATTTAGAATGATACCTTTTTATACAGGCTTGTCAGAGTTTTATTGTGATGTAGTTGCTTTCTCTGAGCTATGTGATTTCATTGTGAAGTTCACTTTATATTGAAGCTTGCTCTGAAGATAATGTCTAAAAGGACAGTTAAAGCTTCATGAATAATTCCCATCCAAACATTAATGAAAACAAAACCTGTAGTCCTGCGATGAGTATCTTTTCGATGAATTCATCCACTTTGCTGTACAATCGCAATTTTATATAGTTATTTTTCTATGTGTGTGTGTGTGTACATTAGCTTTGTCAGAAAACAATAAAAATTAGTTACGGTTGTTGTTACATTAGGGTTGTTGTATACATAGCTCTGGTCTTTCTAACTGAATGAATAAGGCTTCAGCTATGCAAAAGAGACGAAAGCGTATTGCATTGTAGGTTATTCTTGACTCTGTAAATTACTTTGAAGGGGGCGTTTATTGAAATTGAATGGTTAATGTTGACAAGGTGTTCGATTATCGCTCACCTTACAGAGCCACACTACTACCTTTTTGCAGCCATGCAGGATAGTGTTCTCGAATCATTTTGCACCAATGTACCTGGCTTCACAGCAACAGGTGGACTGATATATGCACATAGAAGTGGTCAGATGTGAGATCTTGTACTTGAAGCTTCTGTAGACCAACGGTCGACTGGAGAACACTAGTCTTAGCGTTGCTGCGAAGAATATTTTTCCCAAAGGTGATGTGAAGTTTCTTTTTGGAACAAGCACTGTTTCGTTCCTCTGGACTTTTGGTTTGATACTGTTGTCGATGAAACTTGGTGGGTATCCGTTTTCTATGCAGGTTTCTTTCAGAAGATCCAGTTCTGCTCTCAGGATGTCAGGACTGTAGATGCGTCGGGTCCGAGTGGTAAGGGATTTGTTTAGATTCCGTTTTCGTTCAACGGGCACCCAACTGTAGAAACTTGTTAGCTGGCCGTTCCAAGTAGGTTTTCTATGGACTGACCTTCACAACTCTTACCTAGTTCCACATTTTCCTTCGTTCCTATGTACATCTTAATCAAAATTCACTCATTAAATTATTCACCTTATTACGTAACTGCAATACACTTATTCAACTTCTCTTATGCATTGACTAACATTAACAACTATTTCTTACAACTTATCATCACTACCCTCATACTAATCTTCCCCTCCCCCCTAGTTACAATTTGATTATTCATCACATTTTTTGAAATATTCTGATGAAATTAACAACAACCCTAACTAATTTTTATTGTTTTCTGACAAAGCTAATGTACACACACACACACACATAGAAAAATAACTATATAAAATTGCGACTGTACAGTTAAGTGAATGAATTCGTCCATAAGAGATTCCTCGCTGAACTACGTGTTTTGTTTTCAGTTAATACTTCACAATTAAATCACTCAACTCAGAGAACTCAACTATATCATAATCCTCTAAGAGAGCTATAAATATGCACTACTATTTCAGAGATTTATTTTGCTTGGGTATTTTTATTCATTTCTATCGTAATAAGCTATGATGACTTGAAAAGTTATTCAGTAGATAATAAACAATAGTGAGAAAATAGACTGAGTAATCAAACTGTAATTCTTTTTGCATGAAAATCCCTAGATGTAGGCAGAAATTTACTTTTTAGTGAAAGATCTGTATGAAGGAGAAATGTGTTTGATCAATGAAGTATCTTTGTTGTCAAATTATGTCCACAAAACTAAGAAAGAGTAAATGTGAAATAATGAATCGGCTTATAATAAGGTTAAACACAACTGGAGTTGACTTTTCTATTTTGATTAGTTTATATATATATATATATATATATATATATATATATATCCTTCACGTTCCCCAGTGGAACATAGGGCTTCAAGTTAGTGGCTTGAAGTTTCTGTAGCAGTGTTTTTATTTTACAGGATGAGGTTGCTAGCCTCATGCCCAACCTTTCCTCTTCACCAGTATTATTTCTGGCTTAGCGAGGTAAAGGCGTGCGTCGGTCGGGGATCGAACTCCGGACCATGTGCATGGTCGGCGAGCGTCCTAACCGCTATGCCACCGAACCTTCTGGAAGTCTAAATTTCCCCTATCCGGTCTCATAACACACAAAATGTACTTCATTTGCACTTCACGCTTTATTCATTTAGATTATCAGATTTGGAAATAACTTCGATTGTTAGATTTCGCCATGAACTGCCATCAGTTAGAGACATTATTGAAAACCAGGAAGCACTGAACAGTTGTTTCCTCCTAGTTTGGGACTGTTTAACAGTGTGGACCCACCACCCCATCTGGGACTAAATCCCGTATCTTAAGATTACCAGACCAAGCTCGTTGACCATTTGACCTCTTTGGTCAAATTTCACGGTTTACTGAATTCCTATCCAAGTGGATTCATGTATTCATTTATAATGTACTGAAGGAATCAATTCTTCATTCTTTGAGAGAATAAGACACTGTGGACTTTCTAACTGTATAATGTTTATTTTTTGGATACTTCATATTCATTCAAGTTTCATCTAATTTCTGAAACGGAACACTTGTCTGCAATTCAGCAGGCCTGCAGACATCTAGATGTTTATTTATGAGTAGACTCTTTTACATCGTTATAATTTGCTTCAAGATTCTTTGTATTAACTTCGACTTGTTGTATAGAAATGAAAATGCAGTAAAACAAAACTATATAAATACGTGTAGTCTCTAGTGAAATTGCCTTTTTCCACGGAGAAATAAATCTTCCCTTCTCAGTGAAGCAACAGTAGTTCCAATGATCCGGTGTATATTGTTGTTATGTTAAAGTAGCAGTCAAACAAACCCACAAATCCAGTACTTCTCCCATTATAGCACTATACTTATAATGAATAACTAAACAATGTTTTATTTTAAATAACGATATTTTGTATATTAAAGTTAGACCAGTCAATCACTGCTTTTATATGTTTCTTGGTATTTAATAACTGGAGAGTAAAATTCTTTTATTACAACTAGGTTGACACTCGTAAGTCTTAATATTCTTGAACAAATATATATGCTTCTCAAAAAGAAATATATTTATTCTTCTAAGGGTGCGCATTTCTAACATATACAGTAGTGTTATTAGTATATGAATATTTTTGATGTATATGTAATTTGAGGAGGAGTAGAAGTAATAATTTAAAACAGTGGGACATTTAATACACATTTCGATCATTTCTCTTCAATTTACTAATAGAAATAGAAAAGTTGGTCTGTCAATAAATGTATGCCTTGTACATGTGAAACTAAATTCACATCTCTATAGTATAGTATGAACCTTTTCCAACTACAATCAACCTGAATCACCAGGTATTATCATATATATATATTGACACAGTAAATGAATTTAATATGTATCAGTGGCTGAAACTGTGTTACGGCACATAACTGATACATATGTTCATCAAAAATTCATACTGCGCGCGCGCATGTGTATACGTGTACATTCAATGTCTCAATGTTTTATCTTACATTTTAATAACGACTAGAGAATAATATTGTTAGTAAAGGAATAAAATAAAATAAAATTCAAGCAAATAACAGAAGTGAGAAGAATGTTCAATCTCCAGTAGAATTCAGCTAGATAAGATAATTTTTATGAACTCAACACCTAGTTCTTTTTGTATTCAAATTAGATTACTAAATGACATCAGTTCAAGAACCATCAAATTGCTGTCGTCAGTTGAATAATTCACTGCACCTGCTGAGTAAACAACCACAGACATCAAATACATACTGACTGACAATCTTCAATAGATTTGTAACATAAAGACAGTGAAATGCTGTGAATAAAAGCCGTTCACAGTTATACAAATAATAGTTGACTTTTATATTTCATAAGTATAAACAATTATCTAAAATTATGCTAATCTAGTTGTTACACTTATCAAAATCCATACCTTTCAGATATAATTCGGAGTTTGTAAATTGATTTGGACGGCTAGAATGCATAGTTGTTGTGTTTCCCCTTTTCTTAGTTTTATTAACTATTTGCTTGTAGAAATGCTTAACAAGGTGATAAAATTTCAGTTTGTTTTCTCTTTATATATATACTAAGTTACAACAATAGCAAAATAAAGATAATGGTGACGTGTACAAGACAAGACAAACTTCCCTTATCATCTTTCTCCCTTCTCCCATCTGTCATTTCGCTTTTTCGCCTTTGTTTGCTGTATTCTTAATTTACACGAAGAACATTTCTATCTAAATTTAATATTTTTGATAGTTTCTTTTTGTTGTTGAATATCTTCTAATCTGTGAAAATATAAACAATAGATAATGATACTAATAATAATAATCCATCTGGTGTTTCTAACTGGTATTCTTTTTTGCTTTGCGTTGTATGCAGTGCTTATTACTAGCATAATCATCCGTTTCACTCTCCCACCTCACTAGAGTTATCCCTACCATAATCATCATGAAAAAATACATTTATTCTTTTGGGTTCTCCCTCCCCCTCTTTATTTTGATGTATCACACACAATTGTGTAATTCAACCCACGAATTATATCAATAATAACGATAAGCATAGGGCACTGAGTCGAAAGAGATTATATACATAGATAATCTGTTCAGCATTTCTTTTCATCACATTGCTTTTCTAACCTTTTCTGATAAATTAATGGACATGATAGAGTAAGGCGTTGTCGTTGTAGTTGCTATCGTGCTACTCACATGCATCAAGAATTCTTTAGTCTAATATATTAACTTACTCAAGTATTGGTTGGTGATATTTATTTGAAGAGTTAAACAACAATTTGACTATTCTAAATTAATGTGCTTTTTGTGTAATGAGAAAATATTTCCATTGACACAAAATTATTGTAGAGATTCGGTGATTTGTGTGCCTTTGTTTTATATATATAAGTGCCATATGTCATAAACGTGTTGAAAGATAAAAATGAATTTCATACTACTTTTGTTTTGTAGTAGATGTTCAAATGAAACTACGGCAACGCGTACTGCGGTCAAGTGTGAAAATGGTAAGTCTTATCAGTATTTTCTGTGATACTCATTATTACTACTATTTTTCATTTAAGTAAGTGAAATTTATCAATAATCAAACAGTGTAGAAGTAAGAATATTGCAAAATCATATTACTTTATCCTCTCAGGTTTATTATGATGAGTAAATATACACTCCAGACATAACGTTTAATCGTAAAGAAAGGACAACTAACTAGTATTATTACCATGGTAATTGTTTATCAGTTAAAGTTTTAACATCATAAATGCTTTAAAAATAAATGAGTCACCAGAGAGATATCTTTTCGTAAATTCACTTCAAAGCTGTACAGTTATTTAGGGGATTTCTGTATCCAGTGTTAACTGACAACAGAGGTCAAAGGTTATTATCAGTTAAGTGTATGAGTAAGAACAATGCTTGAAAAACTGGAATAATGTTACGTAATCAAGTAGGTTGTCAACTATATAGCTAGTTGATGTAGGATCATTTGAAAATCACTGGTAAGAAAAAAAGAACGAAGGATTGAGAATGCGTTGAAAAACATAAAAAGAACTACAAAGATTTTCTTTCATACAGCTATACAAGGAAACAAAAAGTTGACACTAAGGCCATGGTAGTAAAACAGGCTGCACAAAACATTTCTGAACACAAAGTTCAGATTGGTTTTGTTAGAGATTACTATAAGTTTGACTTCATGAAGAAGAAGTTGTAGGTGATGTTCTTTTCAACAGTTTGATTATACTTTATATATGATGACTCCGAGTGAAGTAATAATTTGCTCCAGAATTGAGCTGTGTACACTTCAGCATTCTTGTTTTTGAACAATCATGCTGGTAATTGTTAATAAGCTCTTCTAAACAACATTAAAAGAACTGTCTTTTGATTTGACACTAGTAACTAGTGTGATGCGTCTAGTCCTCTCTTTGGTGCAGACTGAATTCTATCAGTCAGGTTGTAATGTGGCCACCATTCTAGGTAGCTCGCCATCACGGTGTACATTGTTTGTGATGATATTAGATGGTTGGAGGCAATCGGAAGGAAGCCTTGCACCTAGGTTTCGTGCTAGTTGGCACTCACAAGTCAGCAAGGCGTATCTGCAACCTTGAAGGAACTCATGTCCCTTCTGAGATTCGAACCCGCGTCACCCAGTGCTGCAGTCAGAGACGTTACCACTGAGCTATTCGGGCTCGCGATTGACCTCCTGTAGGACTGTAGTGGATATTTTGATTTGACACTAGTAACTAGTAAATAGTAACTGTCTTAAATCTTTTGTTTAAGTGAATGCACGCAAAGTTAAAGAAATCATACTTAGTAGAACATATATCTGAATGCTTACATCAACTTTTGTTCTTTTACCTGTTCATTCTAGACTTGTATACTTATAATTTTAAGACTTTTCTTTCCTCATATGTACGTAATCAGATAGTTGATATGCGTAGAACGTAAGTAATTTTGAATTCAAGGTTGCAGATACGCCTTGCTGATGAGTGCCAACTAGCACGAAACCTAGGTCCAAGGCTTCCTGCCTATTGCCTCCAACCATCTAATACCAATTTTGAATTCTGTTTATTTAGAATGTTGTCACTTTAGTAATATTACCTAAATTTAAAAGTCTGTGGATAATGGTTGAAACAAGAAGTACACACAGTTTTTATTAAGAAAATATAGACTGCTTCAGTGTGATTGCATATCTAGTATGCTACGAGAATGTTTTCTTTTTCAAAAAAAATTGTAATCATCGTATTTAGATATTGTCGGGTGATTGATTGTGTACTTCTACACGGTACACTTTTGAATATTTGATCTACGAAAATAACAGAGTAGTTTCTAAAACTTTCAAGTGTAATAGTAATAGTAGTAGTAGTAGTATCATAGTGGACAGATTAAATTAGCTGTCTCTATCTGTATTATATATTTGACCTGCTGAGAATTGTTAGTTGTTGGCTTTTGACTGAAATGCGATTCAGACATTTGTAATCATTTCTTATCATGGTTATGACAACAAGATTTTTTACATAAATAGATTTCCAAACAAAATCCAACTATTTTTACTGACGTATTGATGGTAGATACTACGATAGCTGCTGTCGTACATTTGAGATTCGGTAGACTGTTCTATGAATTTTTGAAAAGCGAATAGTTATTTTTTCATAATTGTAATTTTTTACATTTATTCCCATTTATGAATCTGAATAAAGCAAGAACAACAGTTTTTGCAGAATAAAATGGTACCACCATTTATTTCGTTGGCTTCTCATCAGCTACTTACAGCCTAGAGACATTATTAGGTCGCAGAAACATGCGTATACAGGAAGTTCATTTTTAAACAGAAAATCGACGTATGCATACAATGAGAATAACAGTAATCATGGTAATAAACGCTTTATCTGAAACAATAATAATCCAACAGAATGGAATTTCCAGCCTTACGTAATCAAATGAAAATGAGGATGAAAACATCCAGTTACCAGGGCAAGAAAAGATTGATAATTTCTTCTTTCTGAACACATAAATTGGGTTTCAGGTGCTTGATAGAGATTGCTTTGGCAAACTTGAGGAGAATCGAACTCTTTTGCCTACTGATAATTTTGAATGACCTTGCGACTTCCAAATCATGGCCTGTGTCAAGAAGATGCCTGTCAGTGACATTATTGAAAACATTTGTTCCCTTCAGAACTAGACGTTTAACTACATGTTCAGAAAGTAAGAGGCATGCCCTTCTCTCTATTTTCTCAATATAACTGCTTCCGCAGACAAATGTAAATTTGTTTATACAGTTAGAGTTAAAATGAGAAGGGTGTCTGTCGACTTTTGATTGCACTAAAGAGCATTTTTTCCAATAAACGAGGAACCAACTTAGCTGCAAGACAGGTTCTGACTAGTGACGTATTCAATCTTCTATTGGTTATTCCGGCATTATCATCTTTAAAATCGAGTTGAATGAAGATAGACTTTTTGTCTCCATTGTGATTTGTTTGGCATTTGAACTTTCACATCCTCCTTATTTGTTAATGAACCTCTAAGGGTAACTGTTGTTTTTCAACATTTTTTTCGAGAACCAGAAATCCTTCGTCTTATATCGCTGTAGGGCATATTTTCCTAGCTCTATAGTACAGAGTCTTGACTAGTGCTCGTTTGTAGCTGACTGAACAAAAGCCATTAAAATACAAGTATTGTCCATTCCATGTCGGCTTTCTGTAAATTGGCCTCTGAAGACTACTATCTTTTAAATAAAAACAAAAGTACATACTAATGACCACATTTCAAGAAAAGGCATACAAACAAATTGATGGTGTTGCGATGGGTAGCCCTCTTGGGCCCCTGTTGGCAGATATGTTCATGTCGAAATTGGAGAGACAAATGCAAGGTATGCTTGGAGAATTTATACTGTACAAACGTTATGTAGATGATACTCTCATTATTGGTGATAATATTAAATCTATTGAAAACTTTATTACTCTATTTAATCATATTCATCCAAATATCCGAGTGACTTCCGAACGCGAATCGAATAACAAACTGGGGTTCCTCGATATTACAATGACCAGGAGAGATGATGGTACGATTCAGAGATCTATTTTTCGTAAACAAACGTGGAGTGGACAATATCTTCATTTTACCAGTTTTGTTCCTATCCAGTATAAACGTTCCCTAGTGAAATGTTTGTTTTCAAGAGCCCGAAAAATATGCACGAGTGACACAGTGATGGAGGAGTTTCGACATATACATTCAGTTTTATTAGCTAATGGTTATCCGGAAAACTTTATCACTTGTCACAGTAAAGAAAGACCACATCTTGAAAAGACAGCTTCGGTACCAAAGAAAGCTATCTTTATTAACCTACCATTCAAGGGTGATCAGATTATGCAATTGACAGCTCAAAGACTCCGGTCAGCCATCAAACGCACATTCTACGCCGCATCTCTTTTCCTCACTTGCCGAACATTTTCAATCCCTGTACCTACGATTAAAGGACGAAATTCTGTGGACTCTACTTCAAACTGTATCTACAAGTTCACCTGCAGCTGCGGTGACACCTATATGGGTAGAACCAACAGAATGTTCCAATGTCGTCGGAAAGAACATGTTCCAAAATGGCTACTAAATCACATAGAAAATCCCAATGCCAGTAATCTGAATAGAAATCCAGCATCATCCATTGCAAAACACTTATTAATGTCAGGTCACAAAATCAATATTAATGACTGTTTTACAATTATTTCACATAACTCTAATTCAAGGTTATTGAAGGTGATGGAAGCACTTTGGATTAATCACATACAGCCTAAACTGTGTGTACAAAAATCAATAGACTTCAATCTTCGCCTACCCTGGACTACTTGACCTATTTAAATATGATTGGTCATTAGTATGTACTTTTGTTTTTATTTAACTGAGTAATTGTCATGAACTTTATTTTATTATTGTTAACCATGTTAGTTGTAAAGCGGTTGTAAAGAAACTACGAAATGATATCATCTCGCGAAATTTGTCTTCTTAATGCCTTATTCAAATTTATCAAAGGGACTAATTGTTTCACTACTATCTTTTAGGCGTTGCATGGTAATGTCAAGAAATTGAAACTCTCCATAGAATCTATGGTTAAAAAGTATCGCAGCCTGTATCCTAGTTCCCTTGATTTCTTATATTACTCACTGCTCATTTACAAAATAGTCACTATTTCCCATTTTTCAAAAATTATACATTCAATTCTTTGCAAAATATTTTATGATATTGAACTTATACAATAAAAGTTAATCAATATATGAAGTCAGTCATATTTTTTATTTTGATTATTTTAGCACAATCACCTTTCAGAGAAAAGCTAAAGGTCAATCAGAGAGAAAATGATGAAAATCAGTCGCCCCCAGAAGTAAATACAGTGGAATCTACGAATGATACTTATGAAGAAATTAGTTTGGCTCCAAATATTCATCATTCTCAGTCACCGAAACAATCTTCAGGAAAATTTTTCAGTTCCAGTAAAACACAGAATATTCATCCTAATAGTAATACCGGTCGTAATGAGACTAATGACAAATTAAGAAAACTTGTCAATCCTCCAATCAAAGGAGCTGTCAGATGTTTTTCAGCTTTTTGGCCGGAGAAAAATAATGATGATTTTGAGTCATTATTCTCTAGTAAATCTTGTATTACAGAAAGTATTTCAATGAAATCATTACATGCTTCTCACGATGATGATTGTAATCATAATCATCACACTAGTAATGATGTTGATAATCATCATCAAAGCAGGTCATTGAAGTTATTCCGGTTTCGAAGTCTTCGAAGTAGTCCAGTGGATAACTGTGAAACAAGAGTGTGTTCAGATATCAGTGATGTAAGCACACATTTATCATTTAAAAAAAAGAGATAAAACTTCACATTTACTTAACAATTCCTATTGAAGAAACTTTAATCTTTGGTTAAGTGAGCATGATAAGGAAAGAATAAGTTGATTACCGTCAGTCACTGTCGAGGAGTATTCGTATCTCTTTATGTTTTAAATAATATGGCATAATACGTAACAATGTAAATTAAAGATACCTCGCTTTTATTTGACACTAGGCAGTAACTGATGTCATGTGTCTAGTCCATCGTTTGGTGACTCGATCTGAAATCTCAACAAGCACGAAAACCAGGTTCAAGGTTTCTTACTGATCGCCTGCAACCCCATCCCCCTCCCAACAAAGATACCTCAGTCATCCAAAAGAACTAATCTTTAATGTCTAACGGAAACACTACACTAGAGTACTAATTTGAACATTTTGTAAACATTAGGATTTTACTCGAGTTCATAGTATTCATTATATTTTTAAACTGCTAAAGTGACATCAATGAAAACATATGTATGGACAGAAATTTTAGAAATGTTTTTTTTAGTCCAAATATGTGCCATTTTAGTAATCTGTAGAAACTATGGTGTACTAAGAGTTATCACTTCCTTTTTTAAAAATGTTGCCTGAGGTGGGATTGGCGGCTTACTTGAATCTCTTGGCTACCTGAATTTCAATCCGAGACAATACATCTTATTTTCTTTAGTTCTTGTTATTATGATCATTCAGTTATATCCGTGGACCTCCAAATGTACTCGTGCACATTTTTAATTGGTTTGCAGTCTATTGTTGAGCATTTCTGTGGGACAACAAAAAATACCATTGTGGATTATTTTATTCTTCAGATCTAACATCGCTGCCTTACATAATGCACTGGAGATGGCTGTTTTACTTGAAATTCCGGGATGAAGAGTAAATATTATGCAATAAACTACGCTGAAAATTGTGCATATTGTGTAAACTTGTTGTGCATAATGAAGCTATGTTGATTATTTTTAGTATTAAATTGGATAGCAGTTAGAAATGATCAGATTGAAACACAGAACCACTCTTTGAAATCACTGACAGTTGATGGGTGAGATATGAGATTTAATTTGCTTTCGGTACATTAAGAAGCAGTATTTGTAAACTCTTCATAAAGTGTCTCAAAACGCTTCAGAATAAAGCAGATGTATTACCTATTTGTCATTGAAATTCTGAATATGTTCTCAACGCTTCACTGAATTATCCTCTCCCCATTTGTCCTTATTTATCATAACATTTCTGTCACTTTGTACTTTTCTTACTGTGGTACTCGAAATGGCCCACATCGGTACGAAGTTCAGTATTAGTTAGTCAATTGGAAGTTGTCAGCGGTATTCCTCTGTTCAATTTTAGTATGAATTCAGAAAGAATGAGATGTGTAGGTTATACATTACCATTCTTCTGAATGTACACTACTCAGATTGATACCCGTTTACTAATAATAATCATCTTAAACTGACTCAGTTTTTATTGTTTTGGTTTAAAATAGTAAAGGGGATGGTTTAAATGGTGCTTTAATAAATCGCTATTTCTTAAGCCACTCATGTGTCATACGTTCATTAATGCAGTGAAATGTGATTTATAGTCCATATTCATGTAGTGATTTTTGTTCAAAAATTTTTGTAGAAAGTCTCGAGAAGATTGAGAAATCCCACTAAATTTTTTCAGCATACAGCAGTGCAAAACCTTGTAATATATTAAGGTGAAAACTAATATCATTGATAAAAATATTATAATCATTATTGTTCCCTTGTGTTTCAAGTGGAACATATGGCTTCAGCACCACATCTGCATTTTGTCCCGTTCTCTGCAATCCTCTTCATCTGGCCCCACGATTACCCATAAGCTTTCATCTCCTCCTCACGCTGTCTCCTCAGTGTCACCTAACTCATCGCCTAACAGTTGGATTCTACTCAGGGGCCTGTCGCGGGATGTCACTCAAGGTCTCCTTAGCGTGTGTTCTATCCATCTCCATCTGCCCCGGCACGTTTGTTAACCCATAGGTTCTTGGTTGGTTCATTCCCAGAGTTTCTTGTCACTAATTCTTTCTGGTCATCTGATCTTCAATACAGAGTGAAGGCAGTTATTGGTTAATGTCTGCAAACATGTTGGAATTGTTTTCTTGACGCGCCAGGTTTCTGACCCACATAGAAATACTGACTAACTTAACAATGATGTTGAAAATTCGGATTTTCTGATTTATGTTGTGGAGTGCAGAAGATTTCCAAACTGATTTCTGAGTGATGAGGGTATACTTTGGACTTCCGATTCTGGTTTTGACGTCCTAATCAGTGCTGTGTGTTTGCAGTTGAAGCAATAGTGCCTAGATAAGTAAAGAAAGTGACCTCTTTCAAATTTCTCCCATGGATAGTGAGTGGCGCTGTTTGTTGTTAATGTTGGTTGGTTATCTGCATCACTGCAGTCTTCCATATGTTCATTTGAAGTCCTGTCTTTTCTGCTTCTTCTTCCAAGTTGTTGGTATTCACTTGTAGATCTTCGAATTCGTCTTCTCGTTTCTCATGCTTCGTTGCATAATCCAGTCCACCGCAATCAGTATTGTCCTTGGTGATATTAGGCAGCCTCATCTTACTCGTGTCGTCACTTCGAAAGCTTCGTTAAGTCTTCCGTTGGGCATTACTTGATATGTGACATAAACATACAGCTTCTCGAAAAGCTTTCACCAGCCTGAGTCATTCCGTCTCTCCCACGCCAGCAAAAAATAAGTTTTTTCAAAATAATTTTATTGTGCTTTGAAGTTTTTGTATGGTTTAAATTCCATCGTAATAGTATTGGATGCGTTAATAATTTACGGATCAGAAAATTCTTGTAAATGAAATTTATGCCAAAACACACATATCCTAGAACAATTATTTCCGTTGATATTAATTCATTTTCTTTTTGTCTAAATTTAATTTAGATTGGTCCTGGTGCAGTTAGTGATGCGCCAAGATTAACGCCTATGGATAAAACATCTTCAGCTGATCAAGCTCGTATGACTAGAGATCTTGAAAAATTGAAGTCAGTGTATAAAAGGCAACAAGCAGCATGTCAACGATCGACTGTGATAATCCTACCCAATGATATTTTGCAGTCAACTTGTTGTCCAACAAATATGATTACTGTTCTTCCTCAAAAAAGGCAAACTGTAAGTTCATGTCATTACTTGTAAAATGTATCAACAAGCATAAAGACAGTATTGAGCCACGTAAACCTTGATTCAGTCCCTTGCCTAACCAAGATGGATGGTGTTCAGAACCTCAATGATGAACTTTTCTAATGCAACTTGTTATTAAACATGAAGTAGGTAAAAATAGGCAGTCTGTTTTTTATTTAGTGAAGCAAGTATTAGTTGGCATAAATTAGGTTACATTTAAAACAACGTGTGTGTTACGTCTTGTCGTAGTGTTCTTTAGACATGCTCACCCATGATACATTTCAAAATAAAAATAAAGAAACCAGATTACTAAGAGTGATAAGGGTGATTGATAGATACTCATCGTTCAAGTCTTGGTTAGCAAGGATTTGATTGGTCGTGACCAGCGGGGTACAGCAAATCGGGTGTGAGGAAAAATACTTGCCGATGACATTCGCTAGTTGTCGCGCCATATCGTGGATTGGCAGAAGTTAGAATTCAAGGACCATTGGATCAGGTCCCATTGGTTTAATGGCCTACGAGCGCGCCTTGTTACCGGTAGGTCCTAGGTTCGAACCTCAATGGGTTCGTACTGATGAAGAGCCTCAAGCTGGGACGAAACAGCTGTCTAGTACTCCCTGTTGGTTTTCCAATGGTTCTCTAACTGATGTCATTTCATTATGAAATCCAGATACTCGATGTGTTACACTTAAGCAAGTACAACAGTAAAGCTTTAATTATCAGTGGACGTTGGATATTACATACACAGTGAATTTTTCTAAATCTTGGAAAAGAATAACTTTGGGAGATTTAACAACTTATTGTCACATCATAATCTGAAATTATTAATTTAGTTACATCGAACAAGTTTTTCCGACTACATTAAACCTGTATACCACAAGTGTTTGTTCATTTTCGTTGATAGACCAGCATTTTATTATAATTCAATACTGAAACGTGTGTGTACTTGTCAACTTTGACAGAGTATCGATTAGTGTAGTCAAATCGTTATCATCTATTAAACTCTTACACTAAACCTTTGTATACGACATCAAACCATATCAGCAGTATTTACATCCGCAGATAACAGCATCCATAGTTATAGTTCACAATGCAAATACAAGTCATTCTTTCTACTTTTTTAGCTTAATTTGCTTGAGTCTCTTTCAATATTCAGTTGTCATTTCAGTAAGCACACCATCAAAATGATCGTGTGATGCTTCAGTCATGTAGGTAGTACAACTGAATTTTGATTTCACTTTGTTTTCTGCCATGTTTGTGATTTGTCTTTCTGGATATTCGGTAGATATCTGTTTGCTTTTTATCAGAGCAATAGAAGCGCTTAATGCATTATATTACCTAATTTCTACTGTAATCTACAAGGATTTAGTGTTTACTTAAGGTTTGGTATCAGGAAGAGTGGACATATCCTAAACTTTTATTTTATTTCATGCTACAAGTTTATTTTTTATCCACCATAGAATCAAAAATCATTGAGAAACCGTCAGTCAGTGAAGTCTGAATCTTTCACTTCCAATAATACCTTAGAATATCAAACAGGAGAAGTAAAATCTTTTGAATGTGATAACGATAGTTGTGTGTCATCAAACTTTCTCAATAAGAAGATTGAAAACTCATCCAATGAATGTATATGTTCAGATCAACGTTTAATTGGAGCTGTACGTACTTGGCAAAAAAGAGCCATCTGGTCATCGGTTTCAGTTGATGAAAGTGACAATACAAACTTAAAAGTTCAAACGAAGGAAGTAAATGGTGAAGATTTATCGCCTAAACATTCCAATGGTAGGAAGCCTAAATTATGGGAATTAGCAAGCTCTAAAGAAATGAAGTTTTGTTGGCCACCAAAGGTAAGTGTACAAGTTTAAAATGGTTATACGTATGTTTATATGAATGTGAATTAGTCACTGAGAAGTAATCGATAAAGTAGTACATTTCCTTAGATATTTTCTATTATAGCTGGTCGAAGAAGCAGCAAAGACAGGACTGCAGGTAAACATAGACAAAACGGAGGTTATGAAAATAACCAACCAACAAAACAACAACAACAGCAGCAACATACAGTGCCAATCACCATCAACGGAAAGGATTTGAAAGAGGTTACTTCATTCACTTATCTAGGGAGCATTCTCTCAACTACAGCAGGAACGGACGAGGATGTCAAATCGAGAATCGGGAAGGCGAGAAACACATTCATCAACCTGAAACCAATCTGGAAATCTTCGTCACTCAGCATCAACAACAAAATTCGGATTTTCAATACAAACGTCAAGTCAGTTCTTCTATACGGATCAGAAACTTGGCGGGTCACAAAGAATACTTCCAACAGCCTGTTGCAGACCTTTATCAACAACTGTCTTCGCTCTATACTCAAGATCAGATGGCCAGAAAGAGCAAGAACCAACAAGAAACTATGGGAAGAAACAAAACAAGAACCAGTCGCCCAACAAATATGCAGGAGAAAGTGGAGATGGATTGGACACTCACTGAGGAGGCCGCTGGGTGACATCGCGCGTCAGGCCATCACTCGAGTGGAACCCGAAAGGGAAGCGGCGAGTGGGACGTCGAAGGGTGACATGGAGGAGATCGTGTGGAGAGGAGCTGAAACAGTATGGATTAACATGGATGCAGGTGAAAAGTACAGCAGAAGACAGAAGCAAGTGGAGACGTGTATTTGAAGCCCCACTAGGAGCCCAAGGGAACAATAATGATAATAATAATAGCTTATAGTTATACTTTAAGAAAACCTAATTGTCTTAATATATAAGTACATAATTCTACAATGCAACGTTATTTAGATTCTCAACCCCATTAGGGTGTTAAAAATTATGTTCGGCAGTTCCATACCCTGTAGACTATTTTCAGAAATCGAAAAGCCAAACTACTAATTGATCCATCGAATAATGAAATCAGAAGCTAGTGTGACCCGTAAAGTTGAAATCACAGGATAATTCTAAGATATAGGACTATATTATTGAATAAGAATAATGATTAGTAAATTAAATAATTATTAGTTCTGTGACGCCTATTGACGTGTCCTGAAGTCGCAAGATCCTTCAAAATTATCAATAGACAAAAGAGTTCAATTCCCCTTAAGTTTATCAGAGCAATCTGCATCAGGTGCCTGTAACCAGATTTGTTTGTTCAGAAAGAAGCAGTTATCAGTCTTTCCTTGTCCTGGTAACTGGATGTTTTCATCTAATTACGTAGTGCCGAAAGTTTCCATTGTGTATGATCATTACTGTTTAAGACTAAGTGTTTATTATTGTTATTATTAGCTTTGTATGTGTGTATTCATTGATTGTTTTTGTCTGAAAATGAATTCCTGTGTAAGTATGTAGTCCTCATAATTTATTTAGGCTTTAAGCAGATGATGAGAAGCCAACGAAAGAAAGGATAGTACCATTTTATTCTGAACAAACCACTGTTGTTCTTGCTTTATTCAAATTCATTAAGGGGAATAAATACATGCTTGACTGTTTGCTGTCGATAATTATACTCACTTTCCTTTAGTTTTCAGGAAAGATACTAGCAGTTTTCTTACACTTTGACTAAATCTGTCTCTTTTCCTTTTTTTCAAGTATTCCTACTCAGCTGAAACACTGAATAGTAATAATCCGGTGTGTGGTGATTTCCCTAAAAGCAATGATGAAACTAACTCTAATGTTTCACCAAAGAGAGATATATATTTTCCTTATAACACTAGTATAACCTATTCAAAAAAATTTGTCAGTGAATATATTCTGATGAATATGATTAAGCAGCATATTGAACAAAAAGCGGCCGATAGTTTACTCGACTCTGAATTGTCAAAGGCCATTTCCACGAAGTCATCCGCTGACGTTTCAAATGAAGATGTTAACTCAAACTCCGAAGAAACTGCTTCGATATACACTTCAGTATCAAGATCGACTGCAAGAAAATTGCCTTGGGAAGAAGCAGCTGCATCTTTTGTGTCTAAACATCGTTCCAATCATTTAAATAATACTATTCTCTCAAAGAGAACAACTGAGTCATTCCCTGTAAAAATGCCTCTTACTCAATCTCGAAAAGAGTTTGGAGCGAAATTTGGCATTTATCAAGGTATCAATTCTGAAAATTCATCGTTTGGTTCAGGTTTTACAGATCGCGTACAGGTGATGCAAAGTGTATGCGCAAATCGTATAACTCGGTGATTTCAAATTCGTATTATTTTTTGTAAAATGTAACATTGTTGCACATAACGTCCTGTCTTCTACTTTATCATCGTGTTTATACTGTCTGCTTAAACGTATTTTGTCATAGACGAGTAAGTAAACAGGACTTTTTATTTATCTAAATTTGAAAAGATGAAGTAGTTTTTTTCAAAGAGTCTTACATTTTCCTTCCATCGGTTAACTGTGCTTACTGTTGAATAGAATTCAATGTCTGTTTGTTGTTTATTGTATATTTGTTTTTGTACGTGAAAAATTATCTTGCTTCATTTTCAGTAATCATCGTCCGTCATCCTCATACTATCCTACTTTAAACTATACTTATTACCTCTGAGCCTCCATTACTTACTTCCAAAGATATGGCTGTAAATAAAATTCACCTATGTATCAATAATGAGTTTCTACGCACCGATGATACCAAATATTATGATTGGTGCACAGGACAGTGCAGTTTCCCCGTAATTAATCGTTACTAACTTAACGAAGTGTTACTGAAATTATAGTAAGCATCACATGCATGAGCAATCATAATGGTTAATTAGCAACATTCTAATGTTTCATAATAAATTATACTCTCTCCTTACTAGCCTGAGGCAAAATGGCGGATATATGCGATTGTCATCTAACTTAGATATACTTGTGTAACAGTAGACTACAACTAGTTAAAAAGAAGAAGAATTTTATGGTACCAAGCAACGCGTCTATACCGACATCATTGCTAATAGACCGAAATCGTGTTTAGCTATCTGGAATTTGTGCACAAATAACTGAGTGTACCAGGACAGCGCGTTAGATGACTGTGATGCCTATTCGAATGCTTATAGTCGGTTAAAGTAGAAGAGGTAATAACTTAGTGTTGAATACCTATGTAAAAGTGAGCTATTAACTTTAAGTGGTTATTCACCGCCACAGCCCACTTCCTAGTGGAAATATGCCTACCCGATGGTGATATTAACCAAAGATAAGAGATTACTGTTTATAACAAAAGCAACAAAACATTCCCGTTGGAGTCCTTCATGTTCTGTTTAATTTAAAGAAGTCGTTGAGAAAGTTACATTACAAACTAAAGAAAGTCTATCATTTAGCTTCCTCGTAATCCAAACGGAGAACTTCGGAGCAATTTCGAGATTTGGGATTGTTGCTCAACACTGATCGTATCCCTGAGAAAAAAAGAGAGTTGAGAAATTGAAAATATTCCCATTCAGATGAAGTCCGCGAAGCCACGCAATCTAAAATAGAGAATACTGCGAAGAAGTGTGGTAACTTCATATTAGACCAAGTAATGTAACTAGGGAGATACGCTGAAGTATATGAAATCTCGGAAAATTTGGATCTGTTTAGGGCCGAAAATAAATGTCCATTATTTGTTTAACGAGCTACTGGGGACCAAGTTGTTTTCTTTAGGTTCTCGCTTCTTAGTTGTAAGGTTAAGGTTCCTGATCTTCGGTAAACTTCTGCTTAGTTTGTTCTACGACTATCTTTCAACCCACTAACCTTGGAAACATAAGTTCGGCAATAACATATACTTAGCATTTATCTAAAAAGTAAATATGATGAAATTGGTACTTATGTTGTACTCACAGAATTTATATCTGCACAAATAGAAAAATATAGCAGCTGTCCAATTTCATGTACTAGTAGAGACGAAGATATGGTGGTACGTGCGCTACAGAAAATAAGAGTGGCATTTTTACATTGCGATGTAACTTCTGTTTTTATTGTGTTAATTTGCATCAAAGTTCGTTTTGGTTCGCTTTAACTGATTTAAATAGTTGAAAGATTGTTTATATTCATTTTCTTGTGACTCCGTAATGTTTTTGAAATCAATCTTTATATTGATATGAATTTTTGTATCTGTGTAATTTGAATAACTTATACCGATATGAGTTGCATCAATAACTTTGGACGAACGGACTGTTTTCTCCCGGTGAATGACTGAACGCAGCGTAATAGCTGCAACCTGTGGTGTCGTAAAGTTTACACTGGCTTGTCACCCTTGATCTATGGGAGATTTAGTAAGATACCGCTTCCTTGGCTTTGCAGATTTTGCAACAATTTGTCGGAAAGCCTTATTCAACAGGCCGTAGTACTTCTTATGTCCAAGAAGATGACTAAATATTTAGGTGAGGGAAACAAGCCAGCATTCTAATCGATATCAGGAATGACGACTCTGGACTATACCCTGAGATGTTAAACACGAAAGAGGTGCAGAGTGCCCAAAAATCTGCTGCAAAGATAAATAGCAAACTTCAAAATGTAACAGTGCAAGTAATGATAGTACTAGTGATGTCAGTAAACTATTGAAATACAATTATAATTTATTTAGTGGCAGTACCTTAAGACCAGGTGGCGAAAATGCTGAGACGAAGTGTTACGTATCAAGTGACTGGGTAACCCTTAGTAGCATCAAGAGCACAGTGGAAGAAACTAACGCCACTTAGGCAGTACAGGAAAGTAAGACTAAGAGACTACAGGAAAGACAAGACTGTAGGATTTAATAATAAGATCTTTACGGCAGTTAATACTATTTTGAAACTATCTTTAATTTGTGTGTGATTATTTGAAACTTGGAAGAGTCAAAAAAGTTAGATCCATCTGTTCAGCATTCATATGATCTTTAGGTGGTTTGCTCTACTATTCATGACCTGTTTCTGTAGAAGACAGATGAAATTAATATAAGATAGTTCTTCAGAATCAGCAAATGAAATACTAATGCCAGGGAAGGTCCTCAACAACTGCGGAAAACAATACGAGGGACCGTTATGAATGAAAATAGTATTCTCAACAACGCATCTACCATCATGGATAAAATGTTGGGAAAAGGACCTAACTGATTGTTGAAGAATAGGATTAGAAGAAGGGGAGTCGTAGAGGAATTGAAGGCTTGACTAGAAGAATGGAAAGATGATCTTAGGATATCGGGTGGTGAGGTCTCGGAAGCCAGGATATCTATTCTTAAGTCGAATGAACATATAAGTGTATCGGCGTCCCAGATGAATGCTTGTGGAATTAAGGACAAGCTCCTTGAATCAAGAGTATTACCTGAAAGAATATAACCTTATATAATTGCTATGAGTTAAACATGGTTGTAAGTAGGTGTGGGCCTCAGTCAACTCATACCGGGGTATATTTGCATTCGAGCAGAAATAGTAGTTAATTGGAAGAGTGTTAGGGTTGGCCCATACACCTCGGATAATATAGAAATTTGGTCAGCAGCCTTAGAAGCATATGACATTGGCATTAGTGAAACTGTAAGTTGTTTTATCAACTTAAACAGCGATGATGTAACGATTGGGTTTATTTCTCGAAGTCTTTCAAACGGAGCTAATGGCTTCGTACTAAATGTCCTGAGCGCTTGGAGCAGTAGAAATAGGTATCTAGTAGTAGGTGACTTTTATGCTCCTCATATTAATTGGGAGAAATTAACACCAACTATCTTGTGTGCCTGTTTCGAAAAGGAACTTATACAGGCTGTCATCAAGTGTGCACTCAACCAGCATGTGAATGTGTCTACACGATATGACTCTGGACTTAGTGCTAACACACCAGAAGGAGGATGTAAGAGAATTTATGTATTACCCACCGCTATCAGTAGTGACCATGTAGTCATTACTTTGAAATTGAAGATTCATGATTTCATACAATGGTCGATGTCTGCTCGTTCAAACATTTGGAAGGTGTACATATCAGTGATCTGGAAAGCAGCGAACCCGACTGAGACTGTACAGGAAGCTTTGGTGAGATGTTAAATTCCAAATATATGACTGATAGAAGTCGCATAGGGTACGAGAGGTAGTATTGGACCGCTTACACTGTCCCAAAACACTCGTATTTTAGACGAAGGGCTATCACAAGCAGTGGTATACCGTCACTGGCAAAGAAGGCACGCCAAGCGGCTGAATTCGACAAAGCAAAAGCTGAAACCCCTTCTGAATACTCCTCTGTTATATCCAACCGTAACACACATGGGTTCCGCGAGGTCACCACCATCGCTACTAAAATGCCCCAAATTGTGGCAGATTATGCAGTCAATCCTAAACTACTGTCTTAATTGAAGCCAGATTAATCCGCAGGTCCTGAAAGACTCCATTTTAGACTGACAGTGTCCTCATTGAGCATAATGCACATTCTAATTATGGAGATTTTTAAATGTCTTTGCCAGCCCAGCCTACCTAGGGACTAGAAGGATGCAATTATAAGCCCCATCCTCGAAGGCGGTGTGACAGACTATTGGTTTGTAACTACCGGTCTGCAAATCACACATGCGTAATGTCAAGGGTATAAGAAAAAATAATAAAGGATCACCTATTAGCCCAAATGAAGAGGTATAGCTTCTTAGAGGAGGAACAGCACGTATTTAGTCCAGGACGATTCTGCCTAACAAACTTATGGCTAGTCTGCCATGGCTTCTGCCTTTTCATGATCCTCTTCGACTGTATCGTTGTCAACAGACAGGTTTCGGGCCCCTTTGGGTGTCTTCTTCCTAAGGTTCATGCAAGAGTTATTTTTCGCAGGTTGTAAGATTGCATTTTGGGCTAGATGCATTAATAATCTCCTTAAATAGCCTTGATCTTAGCAACAGTGTGCAGCTTCCTAACCTCAGAAGTCTAAAGTACGATAAACAGGTCCGAGCATTTGTGCTTACACCTGAATAATTTACGAACCTCTTAGTTTTCCTAAGGGGACAATGTTTTCTAAATCTCTGTATGGAGCAAGAAATGAATTCTTAGGTTGCCTGAGAGTAAGTATGCTTTGATCGGCCCCATGCAGCTTCCACGTGAGATTCCGGGCTTATGTGCCAGTCCTGCGATTCAGCAGCTTAGAAGATGCCGTTTCTGTCCACCTTCCTGATACACAGTGGATCTGGGGTTTTCGCTCACGATAGTGCAGAAGCTGTAAATTGATAGCAAGCACAGTGAATCACTTCTTCCTAGAGATGGGAGTCGTGTGATGTCCACATCCTTCCCACATTTGTAAATCAGGTCTTGGGTTGATTAGGAGTTCTTTTGAGTCATAAGGCCTAGGATTTGTGACATGTCATATAAGATCTATTGAAATAGTAGATTTTGACAGTTTGCGGCCAAAGGGATCTTTTGAGGATGGCACTGTAAGCCTCGTCCGGTCAATTAATGTTGCCCCGAATTCACCGACTGCGAGTATATAACAATCGGTTGTCCATGAGTCTAATTTTTCCACTACGAATTTGTCGGATTCATCACTGGTACTGTGGTGTACAGCAATGAGCTCAATATTGTATCGTATGCTTTTTAGTCTGCAGCGTAGAAGTCGGCATTTTACACTACAATGTGTGAGTTTTCGTGCTGTACAAGGCTATGCACTGCTCCAGGTAGATGACCACGTTACCTCATTTGTGACCTAGTCAGTCTGCCCTACACACTGTGAAACCCGTCAACTTAACTACAGCTGGGTTTTCAGTCTACCATACTGCTCAGCTTGATCCCTGAAGACTCTAGTGAGGCAAGCTGTTAGCCGGGCCTGTAGCATGACGCAGATTGATAAGAAGAGGCTTTACTTGATATGAAAATTTTCAATCAGTGGATGCAAAGGCATTATTGTATGTTCCTCAAGTCTGTAATTAGCTTGTATTTTGGACATAAAATAACCTCATTGGGCAGCTCATTTAACCTGAAGTCAACTGCCGTTGAAACAGGAGAGTCCATTCTCCGTTCACCTAGCAAAGTCGTAATGTCGCTAGGAATGCATAAATATGATGTGTTTTCCCTAGATAAAGGTCCGTTTTATCTCCTGTCACCAATTTAAGTGCTTCCTGCCTTCAAAAGAACTCGAACTTTCATGGGCAATCGAGTCCGATTATCTTGGTACAGCTCGTTATCAGGAGTGCCACAGAGTTCTATCCTAGGACAAATGATGTTTTTATTTATATCAGTGACCTGCCATGCCGTCTCAGCTGCTCCACTCTTCTATACGCTGACGACATTAAAATATGCGGAGCAATAAAGTGTATGTATGACTCAGACTACAGGCAGATCTAAAGCTCCTGGAAGACTGGGCCATGGTCAGTGGTATGACTTTCAACATGAAAAAGTGCAAAGTAATGAAATTACGTACCCGTAGGCTGCAGAATGCAAGTTACACCCTGTGCAACGAAAGCCTGTCGGAGCGTGACTTAGGCATGGTTCTAACGGAAGAAATAGAGACAAGCGTAAATTACACTGAGGATGTAGCGAGGGCATGTGCGGTCATACACTTTGCACATAGACGGTTAGGTGCATTCACCCCTGAGCTCTTCCTAAAGTTAATAATAATAATTTATATATTCATATAAACATAAATTTACGTGAAAATGCATGCCATTTTTACAGGCACGATCAAGTATGATATAATGTCAAATAGTAGATTGTCTACAAGTTAGTAATGTTTGAACAGCTAAATATTTGATATATATATAAATACACTCTTTGTCTGACCCATGTCGAAGCATTATTGAATTAAACAGTAGTCCTCCAGGTTGCGCAGGAAAATCGACTTCGTTTCGTTTTCAACCCGTGTTTGTAGGCATACGATAACCAACCAATATTGAGGTAAGTACAACGTTCACGAGGGATAGTAAGCTGTTTTAGAAAAGTAAAGGTGAATCATCAAAGTGTAATGAAATAGGTAAGTGCAATGTATCATTAATATATGCATTCATAAAGGAAATATAATGGGAGACTATAATCCCTAGGTTGACAAAGTTCATAATAATAATAATAATGTATTTCATATAAATTTACAAATTTACATGAAAATGCATGCCATTTTTACAGGCACGATCATTTGCAATGTGTAATGCTACCCTATAGGTCTTACTATCATGGTGTCCACTTTTGGTGTAATACAATTATCCACAAGCCGGTTGTTTTTATTTCATACCTTTTTGTGTATTTGGTGCACAACCGTACCCTACAGAGAATAGGAATAAAATAAGTCGAATCAAATTCATAAAGAGCTATAAAATGTTAGGTTTAATGGAATATAATGAGCAAGTAAAGACGTTATTAGAAAATGAATGAGATGAGACATTGTTAAGTGATGTTCGAAGATATGACAAAGGAAAGCATGTTGCAGGACACATACGTCTGACCACACTTTGAGGTGCATAATATAATTGCAGCCCATTGCTTAGAAGAGACGCAAGCATTTTGTAAAGAGTCCAAAGATGGGCGACAAAAGAAGTGATAGGTCACCGAAATAAACCGTATGTCGAATGGCTAAAGAAATTTAGTCTATTTATACCCAGCTACCGTCGGATAAGGAGGGACCTGACTTTTTTATTCCTTCACGTTCTCGGTGGAACATAGGGTTTCAAGTTAGAGGCTTGAAGTTTCTGTAACAGTATTTATTTTCACAGGATGGGGTTGCTAGCCTCACGCTCAACTTTTCCTTCTAACCAGCTTTATTTGCGGCTTAGCGACGTAAAGGAGTGAGTCGGTCGGGAATCTAACCTTGGACCTTATTAGTGGTCGGCGAACGTCCTAACCGCTGTCCTACAGACGCCTACAAGAAATAAATGACCCGAATCACCTGAACAAAGGTATCCTGAAGTTGAGTATATATGGGATTCTTCTTGGAAATACCAGAAGGATAGCTCACCAGATGGCAACAACTCAGGTGAGCTCCTACTTCTTTTACTGTTTACTGTCCCTGGAACTCCACACCGGTAGATGTAGCTACTGCACAGTCTGTGTACAGCTTTAAACGAAGGCTGGGCAATCATGCGGCGACACAAGAACTGCGACAAAATTGCCTATCCCCTCGAAATCCCATACACCATCCATGGGTAGACATCTAAATTTATCTATTTACTTCTTTATATTCTCTCCTGTCCTATTCTCCTGACTACTCCAACTGCTACACTTACACTTGTTGGAATAGTAATTACTACTAATATTATATACATGTACATTTGCATATGTATATATCAGTATATATATATCAACTTCGAATTAGCTGTCTGTTTATACGTTTTCTTTATTTCATTTTCTGTCTTTTAGTCTGCACAACCTATACTAATTATATCTGTTGTTATTATTATCTCTTTTATTTTGACGATGATACTGGAGGACTAACTGATGAAAGGATCAACTTCATTCACAGTAATAACAAAGTCTAAACACTCCACATACTGAAAAAAACATAATTAATCCCAGCACCACTCCATTTGGATTCAACCAAAGCTACGGCAGTCGAGTAGCGGACGAACTGCGCATAAGTTTACCGGAGACCACGAACCCTAGCCTCACAATCAAGAGGCGAGCACAAAGAAATCAAATTGGTTCATACCAGCTCGTAAAAACGATATTGGATATTGAAATGTATGACGACCTTTCAAAGTATTCGTTACAACCTGCCGAAATTTCGGCATACCTTAAGTTATGGCACTGCGTAAGTAGATTTTTGTTGGTTGAGGATAGAAGGCTTGGAGATTATGTTAATCCGGCAACTCTAAACAATAGGAACTCAAACCGAAACGACTTACGGACGCACAAACGACCTCGAGAAACCAATCAGGTGACAGCTGTTGTTTCTAGAAGTAATTATGGATGTTCTGCACCTCTACTGCGAGCTCTTTTTGCAACATATACAAGAACTTTATCCTTTGTAACTATTTTTTAACATAACTTTGCTTATATATAAACGATTTTTACACTTATGCGCCGTTTTTCGAGCCTTCTGATTGGTCGAAGTTGTCCTTTAAAAGGTTGTTTTGTGCGTTCGTAGGTCGTTTCAGTTTGGGTTCCTATTGTTTACAGTTGCCGCTAATCTTTTTCTAGTAAATTTCCGTGGTCGTCCAAACCCTACTTGAATGAATCAGTTGAGGTTGCAGACGCCACTTCTTCTGGGAGTCGGTTCCAAGATCGAATTTATGACTCGGTGGGAGAACCAGTACTCAACAGCAATATGATTTCTTCTTGTCTTTTGAACTCTCCTGCTATGTCCTCTAAGGTCTTCCGACCCCGCAGAATCGCAAGGGCAAAACCTTTAGGCGCACAGACTAACGTGGGACAATGCCCCAAAGCCTGCCCTAAACATTGTACAATGCGCCCTAACTTTCTAAGACTGATTAAAGCCTGGGACAACGCGCCTACGGTTCCGCATTTAAACCTTAGTCGACAACTAAGATAGAGTCAAATCTGTTATGTAAACAGCTCGTCTCAAGAAACAGCATACTGGCAGCAGCTCAACGACTCACGATATCAAAAAGCAGTTGGTTTTAGTGGAACATGTATTTAATAATCTTGGTAAATGAATTTACAGTCCTTCGACATATCATAAAAGTCAAACATCATTTAAATTACCAGAAGCATTTATTCGTGTGCTTTCTGCATCTGGTATGTTCTCCTTGTTTACGTCGGCGATCTGAAAATGAAATTTTGAAAAAATTGAGACCTACCAAAGGGGAACGTCGTCGTTTTCTCATTCTCGACTTCATTCTATCCGGACTGTTATAAAACCAACGGCCGTAGTCATTATTTAAAATTTTAGACGTTGTAATTAAATCTCCTCTCTACCTACGGTATGACAGGAAGAAGAGATTTAAGCTGTCTAGTCTTTCGTCGTATGATAAGTTAGTCATGCCGAGAACCATAAGTAGGAAATATCTATGTATAGAATCCGTTTATTATGTTGTCCTAGAGGTTTACATCAGCAATAACTAAAATTGACCTACCAGAATAATCAGCATACGGATGAATAGACAAATGTATGCAACTGATTGTTAATTAACTTTTAGAACCCAGCTAGCTTTGACTTCGGACGCATTGTAGAATGTTTGGGTCAGACTTAGAGGCCTTGTCCCACGTTGGGATTTGGTTAATTCCATTTCATATAAGGTTTGATAACCTTACAAGTTTGAAATATTTCCTGAATTTTCGTTGTATGATCATAAAAAAATTTTTGTATGCATTAAACGGACCAATTTAGTGGATTTCTACCACATACATATAAACTGCGCTTATTTAAATAAGTATGCCCCAACGTTCTGCAATGCGCTCAAAGTCCGCCTGAACTTTCTGCAATGCTCCCGAAGTCTGCTCCAGACATTCGGCATTGCGCCCGAAATCATTTCTAGCTGCAGCAATTGTCTAGTATCGTGTGTCTTTATGCTAATCCTGTTGATTATTCCCTAGCACATGACATACTTGTGTGTATTTTTAATAATATCGGGTGTCTGAGTTTGCTTGTAGTTTGTAAAAACTTAGCACAGTGCTTGTTTACTATAATATACATACGAATGCTTGCGGTCTGAAGGACTGGCTGTCTGAATTCCAGTTATCCTAATAAGACAAGATTACTACTGCAGTCCGTGTGGTTTTTGTTGGATTATGATTTAAGACCGAGTGAATACTGTTTCAAGAAAAAAATACTCCTCTGACGACAGAGTGTAGGGAATTCTGAAAGAAATATAAACTAGTGATAGTTAATCTATCAGTCACCTGCAAAGTCTAGAACAAATAGTAAGGGTTTCCCCTTTCATGCTATTTTTAATAGTTATTTTCCCCTTTGAAAATATCTTCCCCTTATTATCATCCTTTCCGCAGAAATTCCGCAGTTTTGTCCACGCTTTTGTGTACTTGGAATACTCAATTTCGGAGATGCTTGAGAATTTGCCTTGTAGTAATCGGAATTGCGAATCTTTATGTTTCCGCTTTATGGATCAATCACCGTTTTCTTTTCAGAAAGATAGACTGTAGTTGGTAAGGTATAAATGGTGTCCAGTAAACTTATAACTAACTATTCACGTGAGATTATGGTAAGTTTTACCTTGGTTTTCTTATATTCTGTTCATGTCGGTCTTATTTCACTTATTGTGTCACGTTGACATTTCACAAACGACATTACGTGTTTTTCAGAGGCCTTTTGTTTTGACTGCTGCTTTTTTTATCTGAAGTGGCAAACAGGGGCAAGACAAGCAGCAAGCGTAGTCTCTAAGCTCACACATTTAATGGGCGTGGGATTTCTGAAACTCTCAGATAGGAACTGGCACTACTGTCGTTTGAAAGGTCTTTCAATACGTCATTAAGTAGGTTTTCAAGGGAGGCCAATGTGCTTGCTTGCTGCATTTCCGTTGTTAGTTTTTTCCATTTCTGGGCATCTATAATCAAGTAAAACTTGCGTAGTGTCTGTTTCACATTGGTCTATAGTCACTGTACCCGCAGTGTATCTTACATTATAGTCATTGTCACCCGAAAGTCGAGTACCATTAGTAGAAGTGAAAACTATGTGTTCTAAAAGCTTATAAAAAAGTGCCAAGTTTAGTCGCAAGCGTTTTAGTTATGGTGTTTCTAGCCCTAGAGTCTCACATCTAATGGGATAGTTTGTGTCATTTTTACTTCGAGTATTTTCAGTGTGCAGTATCTCTGCACTCCTACTTTCAGTTTGTCCTCTGTGTATGTATAACTAAATATAAATGGAGTAGTAACCAAAAAGTAGGCGCACAGAAACCTTGTACAGAAGGATTCTAGATCCATTTCTTTAGAAGTCCTTGGGTAGAAAGCCGATGAGCATGCATCATTTTTATACTGGTTTGGATATACGTTTTGAAAATGGTGAGTCATGGGAATATTTCAGTCCTAGGTCTAGTACAGATTTCAGTTTCTTAGGTTCATAACCTTGAATTACTCAATCGATTTGTAGGTGGGGACGTCCTATGTGGAGCCACCCGCATTTTCCACATTAAACTCGAGTCTCCAGGTGTCACATCACTTTTCCATTTTTATCGATTCTTCCTGTGCAGAGTTTACAGTTGTTCCGAGATCTGTATTTTCGCATATATAGGTCACTTCGAAGTCATCCGTGAGCGGCTAGTTCATGCTTCAAGGAAGACACATATATTGGGAAGTGTATAGAGAGTAGGAACCGAATTAGTTAATGGTATGTCACCCCTTCCTTATGAGAGGAGGATGGGACACTTCCCATTATCATGCTGTAGGAGAAGAGGTAAGTTAATTTCAGCATATCGTTTGTTATAGGGTGATTTGGGTGTTGACCTTCTTAGCCTTCTGTCTATTGTGTTATCTTTGTGAAGTCATCACAGAAAGTTGCCCTAACAGCAGCCGAACAAAATACCACAACAAGGTGCTCAAACGGAGGTCGAATAAAATACGTGTGGGATTTGGATTCTCTCACGGAGTGGTTAATGACTGAAACTGTACCCGACCAAGTAGTATCAGCTCCATCGGTGGACGCTTTCAAAGGGAAATTAGACCTCTGTAGAAATATATGTTGCAAGGAGTAATACAGGTCACAAAAGGCTACTGTCATTTATTATGTGAATGTAGATTGTTTGAACTACCTGACTGTCAACATCATTTTTGCCCTCTCCATTTTCCTCAGTCTTTCTAAAGTTAAGACAATGATTAATGTGATTGTGAGGGTTAACAAAGTTATCCTTATAATTTTAATTGATAATCAAATATGAACCAATCCAGAAAGTCATATTGCGAGCAGTTATGATATATTTCTGAAGACTCTGAAGGTGGAATCTGTATATGGTGACACATATAACTTTTTGGATGTTGTGTAATGGTTTTGCCAAGTTTTTGATATCCTACTAGGTGTTCTTTAGAGTTTAGCTCCATTTATCGGTTTAGGCTATTTTTATCTTCCCTATAACCAATGTTTGTTTTGTTTATGCCTTTGCTGCTGTTTACCAACGTGTTGCAGACGACGAATATGGTGGGTCTGGTGAAATCGTAAAGGACAGTTTAATGATGGCTTTCTCATCCTTCATGGTATCTGGGATACTTACTTACAATTATGTCCAGGGAGTTAACAACGCAACTTGGTAATCAAACAGTACGAAAATCTGTAATACATGTCACGATATGTTTTGTACTATATCCAGATTGATTTACTTTAGAATATATTGTATTAATACCAAATTCGTGTTTTGATTTAAATAGTCGGATAAAGTATTTACTAGATTTGTTTGTTTTAGGTATGGTCTCTCAGCACAGTGTGTTGTATTTTGTCAAGGATATCAGACGTGAAGTGACAGGAAGTGATCTATCATATGTCCAAGCTGGAGATGGATCTCTGTGTTTTTGTACAATTCTGGAATTAAATCCGAAGTCTACTTCCTTGTCATTAGAATACTGTTCATTATGTTCACTTAATAATATGGCACAGTGTAATGTGATTATGTTAAACAACAACTCACACTTTCGTATGCTTCTTGGTAATGTCCCTGATATCACAGAGCATGGACGTACTCAAACTTCCGGTCAACCTTCTTTAAGACATATAATAGAAAACATACTCCAAGGTTCCATACGTGGGGATGTGTACAAGATTGAGATTGGATGTGATACAGAACGTGATGGACATAAACATCATTCAGTAAGCTACTTTTATCTGATTTGTTTTGCTAATTTGTTTTATAATTGGGTATGTGGAAATCTGTCGGATTGAAATATTTATTGTTTAGAGATTTAGGTAGGTGGTAATAGTTACAATATAATTATACAAATATATGTGATTTTTTTAAAATAATGTGAATTGCAACAAAAATTGGTTATGTACTTTATAAAATACCATGTGGAATATAGAAATCTTGGAAGGCGTGTAGAATTAATAAGATTAGCAGGCAGGACTGGACTTCACCGACCCCTAGATTAGAAATAGGAAGTGAAGTGGTAGAGCACGTTGACCGCTTCACTTACTTGGGAAGTACCATCAGCCCCAACGGGTTGATCTCAGACGAAATCTCAGCACGAATACAGAGGGCTAGGTTCGCATTCGCCAGTTTTCGCCGTCTCTGGCGTAGACGCGATATCCGACTATCGACCAAAGGGCGTGTGTACTGCTCAACAGTCCGCTCCGTCCTCCTTTATGGCTGTGAGACCTGGCCATTGAGAGCAGAAGACATGAAAAGATTAGCTGTCTTCGATCATAGGTGTCTGCGTTCTATCTCCCGCGTGAAGTGGTATAATAAGGTGAGCAATATTGAGGTTAGGCGTCGAGCGCTAGGCAAGGCGGGGAAATCAATCGACGAAACGGTGAAATTACTTCGACTGAGATGGTTAGGACATGTGCTACGTATGCCTAGTCATCGCCTTCCTCGACGGGCAATGTTAGCTGATATAGGGCCAGGCTGGAAAAGAGCTAGCCAGTGGTGATCAAACGAAAACAAGGCACCAGTCAATGAAATCTACAACAGTTAGTCTAGGCCACGTGGGAAGGTGCAGACTTCCTGGTTGGAGTCCTCGGGACGGTAAAAACCAAAGGTTGGAAACAATTGGTGACATGGCTCAAAATCGTTCCCAATGACAGCGCAGATGCATCCACTCCTTATGACTTGTGATTTCGAATTAAACTGTTTTGTTCTTCGTTATTACTATTCCTTTGTCTCACACCTCTGTTTACTGTCTATATTATGCATTTCTTCTACTTCCTTCTCTTGCTTTGCGTGCTACATAGATTGTAGCGACTTGAACTGCCGCACATATGTGCAAAGTTCTATGTCGAAAACCGACCGACTGACCGACCGAGCAGGCAATGAAAACTACGCGACAAAGTGAGATTTATAATCAGACAACATTGCGAAAAAATCATATCGAATGAAGGTGACAAGTGAAATAATACTGGAAATAGTTCAAAGGGAATTAATGAAGGATGCATATACGAACCAAATAGACGAAACGAAAAATTAATAGGACCACAGTGGACATGTGGGCTGAAAAAGAAATGACTGAAGAAACTTTTCCTGTACACAAAGGTGTTGTGGCGTAGTCAAGTAGTCAAACGCTCTAATGAACCGGCTACTTACGAAATCTCAGTAGGGATATGGAAGTGTCATTTCACAATCACTACTGCGCTTCATATCTGAGGCATATAGGATATCTATGTAAGCATTAAAGTGTATGTATTGCACAGCAGTTCTCTACTTCCTACTACTATACGCCCGTAATATTGGGCTATGGAGAATGGAAGACATAAATGGGTTACACATTTATGTAACCATTTACGTTTGTTTAAATATTCATGTTGAGTTGAGTAACATAACAGGTAGTGTTGAGTCAAATACCATCGATCTAAGACATACAGTTAAGTATAGTTTGCATAGATAGGGTACTTGAGATACTAAGGATCGTTGGTCAGAAATTCTTCATGAGATGGTATAAAACATTTCATCATAGGAGAATGTATTCATCCCCTATCATAAAAGTTCAAGATGTCATTACTCTTCATTAAATCATTTTCTCGAGAAATGTTGATCGATTCTTCTACCACGAGACGTTTGTTATTTTATCACATTTTTCAGAGATGTTACAACTTGATGGGACTTATCTATGCAAATTATATATGTAACGATTATCTCATGTTGAAATTTTTCCTGTGGCTAATATAATTCTTTATACTTCTTTTTAATTTTTTCGCTTATTCAATTAGGATTTCACCCTGTCATTACGTGTTGACTATGTCCTTGCTCCACCAGCTTGTATGAAAAATACACATGTCAAAACGAAAGAATTGAGAACCGATCCTAGAGAAAATTCTACGCTGGATTGGAATCCTGACTTACCTGTTCATTGGTTATATCGAGCATGGGATATGAAAGAACGAGGTTCATGGTTGATAAATCATCATTTAAAAACAGCAACATCGAATTGTGAAAGGTCAAATGATAAGAGTGAATTATGTAAATACATTTGGCAATCAGCGTTCACATGTTATTCAAGAGCTTTACAGCTTGTTTCACTATGTCACTGGGCTGAACAAACTTGTCGTACAGACGAATCTTCATCATCGGTATCTGATAATGACAAGTCTAGTTGTTCGAAGTATGAAAACAGACGAGATAGTAAGGATAGTATTCAAGTTTTATCAGGTGAAAAGTCAATTACTATCATTCCTACTAATACTGCTGGTGACAATTTGAACAGTTCAGAATATATTGATTGTGATCATTTTGGTAGTATTGGTTACAAAACTTCGTATTCTTTGGATTGTCAACCTGTACGCTTGGAGTTTATGTAAGCGTTTTCTTGATAATTTTTATTCATTACTGTTTGAAAATTGAAACATTGAACTGGAGGACAAATAACATTTTACTAGATATTTTTTTGTTCATCTCCTACATTCATGTGTTCATGCTGATTAGAGAATATATCCAAGTAAGATCACAAAGTGACACAGTCAAATAATCATTGAAAACCAGGAGGTATAGGACAGCTCTTTCACCTCATTTTGGGACATGTGGCTTATTGGCTTAGGTACTTGGTTTCCAGCCGATGAGTCACTGACCTGAGTCCCGCTTCACTTGCTTCAGCCTAAGGAACTGAGTAGTATCGTTAGCCCTCACACGATAAGCATGGCTCTTAGCTTGGTACATGAAAAATCTGTTCTAGGTAATTGAGTTGAGACAAAATAGCAACATAGCTAGTTTGGAACTCTCCAGGAGTACACACCCATGAACCCATTGGAGATTGCACCCGGGACCTTCAGGTTATGAGGTGAAATCATTGATCAGTCAGTCACGGGGATGGAGTCAGTGACATATGAATTCTAACTCTAGCCAATTTGTGGTATATGGTGCCAACGCTAGTCAGTGTCATCAACGAGTATTCACGAGCCATTGGATTTCGTTCCAGTGGCTGGATAGCTACTGGGCTCCCCGCGTAACCTGAAGTTGTTAGGTAGCATCCTTGGTGATGTCATGGATGCCTGCTGATGAAGAGTTACAAACTAGGGCAAAATAGTTGCTTAATATTCCCTGGTTTTCAGTGTTTCTCTTGTGGATGTCAGTTCGTGATTTATAGTGGAGCATTATTTCAATTGTCCCATTGTAGTGTTTAAACGTCAGTATTTTTATGTGGTAGTTTCCGGTAGTTACTGATCGATACTGTGTCGCCAAATAGAAAATTTGGAAACACCAGCTATTCCATTTCGTTCCAGTTGTTGCTCAGTTTCGTCCTCGTAAACAACCAGTACAGTCTTGAACTGTATCTATCTTAGTGTCATAGGTCATTTCCATCGCTAAAGAATGCCAAGTAGGGACGAAACACTTATTCTGTACTAATATATTATTTAAAATTATCTCAACGTGTTTAAGAAAAGTCGGAACAAGATTTTTCTGAACATTTCGCTGTACAAGCCACAGCTTCTTCAGCAGAATTATTCTGATTTTATCAACCATCAAAACATAAAGTCAAATATTACATAAATTGAAGTGAGTTCCTTTGAAGGTCACATGTCGGTAGACATTTGTACCAATAGAAAAATGTAAGCAATCATCACATATTTGTAATAGCTAATGTCAAGTTGGCATATGTGCATGCTTGCCTGTGTGACTGTGTGTATGTTTGTTGTATAGGAGAAACATTAAAACGCGATAATATTTCACAGTGGTCATAATATAGGATTGCATTTTTTTCTTCTCATCTGTTTTGCCATATAGGTGATAAGTCTATCCCCTCTCTCCTATTTACCGCATTCGATATGGTTAAAATCTGAAAGACTTCAGAAGTCAGTCTTTCTCTATGTGAATGAAAGCTTCTTTCTAAAATTTCCAGATTGTCGAAAGCGATCTTATGTCCGCTGTCTATAGCATTCATTGCTATAGCTGATCTTTTTTAGACTTCTTAATTCTACTTCATTTCTAGGTGAACATTTCGTGTCCAGTCAATGTTCATTCACCCTAACGTTCACCTGTTTACTGCTCTCCCCTATATATAGCAAGCTGCACATTCTGAACACTTTATCCTATAGACACAGTTGTTTTGTGTCATTTCAGGAATCATATCTTTGATATTCACCAAAGCTTTCGCTAGAGAATTTGAGGATTTGAAATAGACTTAAATATTTATATGAAGCAAGTGCTCTTTGAAGTTGTTCAGCTGTATCCTTTAGATATGGAATGACTATTGTCAGTAGCCAGGACTTTCCAATTTTCTGTTTTGCCTTCTGCTCCTTTTTATTGATATTATTATTTGGCATCTTTTTCGGATAACCATTTCTAATCAAAATTTGGTTTACATTGGAGATCTCGTTCTCCATATCATCATTATCTGTAATAGTGTTTCTAGCTCTGTTAAACGAGATTTAAGGCTACTGAAACTTTCATTCTTATTTAATGATATAATTGGAAATTCGAATATTTGTTTGAATGTGTCGGTTTCCTGTATATAGTGAACTTTAGTTTCTCTTAAGTTTGTCTTTTTACAAGACAATTCAGAAAGTTTAGAGTTCCTTCGTCCGATTCTACTTCATCAGTAAACTTCATATACTTTGAGATTAAGTTTATCTGTATTATAGAATTTTCTTTTTCAGCTTTCTTAATAATGATAAATGTGTCATCCACATATCTGTACCATATTCTAGGCTAAAAGGATAACACAAAAAAATAGTGAACCGATTATCATATCCTCCACTTGGTGATAAATTTCAGTGTTAAACTGAAACTGCACATTCATCGTACGACGAACTGGCACTTCTCGGATTATATGAGGAAGTTTATCTTACTTCTGTATCGTTTTGTAGCAGAGAAATAAAAGGTGGCATCCTTTTGTCATTAGAATTTCCATCAGTCAATCTTGTGCGCTCCGCGTGTTATCAACAAATGTATTTACCAATAGGGAAATAACATAAAATAATGTCTTATCAATTTTTTCTTCTTCCTTTGCTTTTCAGATTATTATCAAATATTGCTCTGTGCCAATTGAAGGTTGGATCAAATGAATATTGTGCACAAAATTGTTCACAAGCTTTATATTTACTTGCACGAGAGAATAAGTCTATTCCATATTCTGATGACTATAATGATTTGTGTAAAGCAGAATTATTTTCTTTTGAGAAAATTAAATTTTACTGGGAGAATTTTCAAATTACCTGTCGTGATGTGTATAAGGTGTTATTTCGTCGAGCTCAAGCTAATTATAATTTAGGCAAAATGGATGAAGCCAAGTTAGACCTACAAATGTGTATACAATTAGACAAGGATCAATTGATGGTATTAGAAGGGAAAGCTGAGAAAAACGAGGAAATAAAAGCAATGAAGTCGACAGCATCAGAGGAACAAGGGAATATTGCTAATTGTAAACAGATTAAGGCAGCTTTACAGGCTAGTGAAAGTTTGTTAGCAAAAGTATGCGAACATATATTACGTGATCAGGAACAATTAGTTTCTCGTTTGAGAAAGCGAACTTCTATGAACTGATAACACAATATTATACTTCTGTTATAATAATGATAACATTAATGATATATTCTTATGTATACATTAAAATCAATTTTCACTGTGAACAATAAAAGTATTTTATGATGTGTTTTTTTTCATTTTTTTAAACATGATACTTTGCATAAAGGTATTATATCGCAAGCCAACACACCTCAGCAGCATGCTTACACATGCATAAAAAGGTGAAGAAAAAAATCGGGAAATGCAAAAAGAAACAAATAATAAACGGGAATGTGTGGGGCAAAAGAAATAATCACATAAAGAATAATGAGGATTTTCAGAATCTCAAGTACATCTGCGCCATAGAGTATAATTTTCTGCTATGCCACCAAAAGTCTCCAACCAGTTTACACCATTCTGCATGGTTCATACCAATGGTCGAAGACTTCATCAATTGCTGTCAATGTATTGGTCTAACTTTCTATAATTCTTTTTCCAATCTAATCTTATACAAGCTAACATCGCTCGTTAAGGAAGCCAGTGGTTTAGGATGCATAGTCCTAGTGATATATCCCAATTTGAGCTAGTCATAGTTTCCCTGTTGGTGAAGTTCAATAACTTAGTCATACAGAAATTCTGAATATTTGTTGTGCTAGGCTACGACGTATCACATTATATATATATATATATATATATATATATATATATATATAGAGCGTCTTGCTTTAACCGAAGTAGGCGAAACGGAATTTGAACCGGAGTTCTATTAGTAAGTTCTGTAATTAATTCGTCAAGTGCTTCAGACAAGAATCGCAATTTTTCCGCTAACCTGGTATCTTTGCGCCACAGAGCACACTTGCTTTCTCAGATGGTCACTTTTTGAATAGCTTTGTGATAATGCCTTTGATTTTGGAACTGACTGACATGAATTCTCATGTTGATGGGATGGTAGGTAGAAAATATTACACTTATGTAGATATCTTCCATCAAATTGTCTCCTGAAATTTCCTATTTACACATTATATATATATATATATATATCCCTACATCAATCATGCGATTACGCTAGTCAATAAGAATTATGCAGTTTGAGAGGGGTGAAAATAAATGGTTGAAACTCTTAGAGACGGTAAATTAGTTGAAATGAGCGACGAATTGTTGGTCAAAAATAAATAAATTATTGAGGTACAAGTGGGGCGAAAATAATTACGGAATTCAAAATCAGTGAATTTGTAAGGGTTAGCAACAAGTTATTGCATAATCTGTCATTTATAGAACAAAGATGACTAGTGAGCATAGATGAGTGAATTATATAAAAATACCAGGTTATAAACAAGTTAACTCAGTGGTTAGACAACATGTCGGAAATTAGATAAATACTAATCTCAATAAAATAGCCAAGTCAAATGTTAGTTACAAAGACAGGGGTAGTTTATCTCCAAGAATTTGGACGTATTATGTAGACGGTTGCTGTAAAGAAAAAAGCTTATTCCATATTAGATTAGTTTATTTTAAATAACACAGTGCTTCAGTATTAACAACAAGTGGGTGACGTTTCGAGCGCAAATTATTGCTCATAATCATTTCAATTTAGTCACATGGCTTCATAATTTTCTCTTTCTCTCTCTCTCTCTCTCTCTCTCTATATATATATATATATATATATATATATATATAGTATATTATACCTTACTGTTTGTTGCAACTTTCCATATCGCCGGTATAGGCATTGCGCCATTTCGATTGCACGCGTGTTGCATCGAATCGATAAACAAAGATTCAGTGATTAATCTCTCTCCACCTAAATATATTACTTCTTAATAATTTCTCCCTATTTTGTGATTACACGCAAGTGATAGCAATGGCCGAGCTTTTTCCTAGCTTACGATATACAATATAGAGAAGACAATTTTTCTCCGATATTGATCTAAAGTACTGTCTACGTTGTTTCCTCCTTCAACTTATTGGTTTTCGCTTATTAATCATCTGGTTCATCGACACGAGAAATATATTGCCTGTGAGACCCATATCTTCTGGGGATATTTCGTCAGTCCAACTTAAACCTGTCTTGTCACTCCCCATAGTCTACTGCGTGAGAATATCATCGGTGATAATAGGCAGTGTCGTCTTACTCCTGTCTCCACTTCAAAGTCCTCACTGAGTTTTCCGTTGTACATCACCCAGCACGTACCACTGTCATATATGTAGCTCTGGTTGAATGAGGTCGATAAAGATTTAAGGCTGCTTCCAAAATACTATTCGATCAACTCTGTTGAGGGAATTTCCAAAGTCGATGAAGACTCGTGTGATGTTCTATGCTCCGTTAGATGTTTTCTCGCAGTGCTGCAATTTGATTGCCACATGATTCGCTTTTCTTGAATCCAGGTTGTTCTGGGCGGATGTTTGCACCCAGAGCATCTTCTAGTCTCACAAGGATGAAGAGACTTAATATTTCGTCTGGTGAGGACAAGAGCATGATTCTGTGCCGGTTCTTGTAGAGGCCTAGGTCACCTTTTTGGGGATTTTAACAAGATGTCCTTTCTTCCAATCGGTAGGCAAACTTTCCTTCCTTCCTAACTTTTTGCAATAGTAGAGTGAACATATATTATGTGGTCTCTGGGAGCCACTCTCAGCACTTCAGTAAATTGATTGCACTTTAGACTTCTGTCTTCATTGGAGGATTAATATTCGTTGGCTGCTGGTGGTATTTCTGGGCGAGCTGCAGGTGACGGTCAATCAAGGAGTCCTTTTGAAATTATCAGCCTATTTTTTATCTGTCTATCCTCTTGGGTAATTAGGTACCCTTGACCACCAATTACTGGTTTCACCTGCGTTGATCTCTTCCAGAATAGAGACCCGGTTATCAGATATAATATTCTGAGGTCTCTTTTACATGAGGCCGGTCTGTTCTGTTTTAGTTGCCGGCTAGTTAATCGTAGAATTATTATTTATTAGCACTCTTTCACTTCTCTATTCAGTGCAGTGTACATTGAACTCAGCTTCTCCTTCTACTGCCCATCTTTGCAAGGAGTCATCTTTCACTATCCTCCTCTTCTCTTGTCAATGTAGTTGAAGAATGAACGATCAATTCATAGTTGTTTACTCAAAACCAACTCCATATTTTGGCGGAAGTCACCGATACTGCAGTCATCGTTCCATCGTACGCTGTTCGTTAGAAGATGAAGAAATACTATCAGAAGTATTATTGTAATTAATTGTTATGACATTTATTCTTAGACTTTGTGTATAATAACCTTATGGTTGTTTCCATATAAAGGATTCTCGAGTCACCAATCTGTGTTCTGTTTTTCATGTTGGTTATTGCACATTGTTGCTGAAGGTCTTCTAAGGACAGTGTTAATTCCAGTGCAGTTAGACCTGGACACTGACACTTCTTTTCTATTAATTTCCAGATGTCTGCTGAGAGCCGTTCGTTGTCTTGTCTCTTTTTTCTTCCTAGAACAGTTGTACACGTTTCCTTGAACACCACCTTCATAGAGTTTCAAGGTTTCCTCAGTGATAGCATTTAGTGTCTCCGACTTTGCTCCGATCTGATCCGTAGCGAAGGTATCTCTTGTCATTTTGTCCTTCAGTTTCTGAGTGTTTGACTTGAATTGTGGCCTGTCTCCAGTTGTTCTAAAGGATATCAGCTCTGACTCGAAGGTCCCTTGAACTAGATAATAGTCTGAGCCTACATTTGCTCTCATTCTCGAAATAGTATCCAGGATGCTGCCTCCTCACTTCCTTGAGCAGCACTGAGATTTAGTCTATCTGCTTTGTGGTGTGTCCGTCAGGCGAAATCCATGTTACTTGTGCATGTACACGCTGATACGACCACCAAATCATTGGAAGCGTAGTGGTTTGCGAATTCTCTGCTGTCATCTATTCCTCCTAGAGCCTCTCTTGCACTGCCCACTCTCAGTTTAGCATTCACACCGCCTATGAGGATTTTGATGTCACCATTTAGGGTATTGACCATTACAGTTTGTAGCTGTCTTTAGAAATCTCCCTTCTCCTCTTGCTCTGCGTTGTTTGTAGGTGTGTAGCACTGGATGGTTGTCACCTTCCTTCCTTTTGAGTTGAATCTCACTGTTGTAATCCTGGATAAAATTGGTCCCCCTGTGTAAGAGCTATGTCTCCTTTAGTGATATCATGATGGTCACTCCATGAATGTGTTCGTGGTTGTCGTCTGGGTGACCGGAGTAGATTACTTACTCAACACATCCATGCCATCTGCTCTCTCAGATTCCGAGCACTTCTGTACCATGTCCTTTCATTTTTTTGGCTGCCTGGGCAGCTTTCCCAACCATCCTCGTACACTGTACGGACATTCCACGTCCCCGTTATTATTCTTGCTTTCATCGAAGGAAGACACATCGGCCGGCTGTCTTCCCGAAGGCTTTCACCAACCCACGTCATTACGCCTCCCCGATTCCAGCAAAGAATAAGACTGTTATGTGAATACTTTGTATTTTTAATATATTTATTATGCGTTTAAGTTTCTGTAGCAGTTTGATAGGTTTGAGGGGCAGGGTCGCTAGTCCCACGCCCAACCGTCCTACTTTACCCAGGATCAGGACTGGCTAGAAAACTAGTGGGCTGGTAAATCAAGCGAACTAATATCTAATAAATCCTCTACCTCTCTTAAATTCTTCGAAAATTTATTCGCTGTGAATGCGATTCCCACATTTATCTCTGAGGCTATATGGCTGAAACCGGAAACCTATTTCGAATACTTACTTGTGATGCCTTTCTTTCATTCTGGCGTTACATAGAGATTTCACACAAGGAAATAGCTTATTTCAGTGGCCTTAATTATTTTAGTGCCTGGGTTTCCAAAATTAATTCAGTTTAATGCCGGTCTGATATTTCCATAATTTAGTCAGAAACCTATCGTTCTACTGATACTTGGCATTTTAACAGTCAGATGATTGTGAAGTTAGTAAGACAGATAAGAGCTGAACAGTGATGGCACTTTGGAACAGCTGGATGTCCTCAAAAGTACTAGATACATGCTTTCACCGAACCACCAGGATAACTTAGTCACTGCTTTTATGTTAACACTCACAACTGCAGCCATAGGTCGACATTACCTTGTCGAAACATTTAGAGCTCAACAGTCTTTTCCGACTGGTCGATTAACTTG